GAGGGATGGAGAGAGGGGGGGAGAAAGAGGGTAAAAAAATAAAAAGAATCCCCGCGGTCCAGGCCGGATTTATTTGGCCATAAATAAGTCGCGTCACCGTGTCCGTGGAAATTTATTCTCGGCAAGAGAATCCACGCGTTCCAGATTCCCCCGTAAATTCATTCGATCAAGGACTCGCGATTAACTGCTCCGAAAAACTGAAAGAAAAAGAAAAAAGAAAGAAGATAAAAAAAACCTCGACCTCTGTCTTCCCTTTCTTTCGGTTTATTAATGAGAAAAGTCTCGCCAGAAAGGATACGACACCATGTATTAAAATCCTCCCCACATTAGGGGGCGAGATATTCAAATTTATTCGATCCAGTGCCGAGAGCGCCGCCTCGATGAAATCCTGCAATTAAACATTATCGTCCGCTGGTCTTTATCGCGTTAAAAACATCACATCCCGTATATCATCCGCGGATTATCGTTTCCCATTGCGTACCTTGATTGCACAATTAAAAGCACTTTAGGTCATTTACGTCTGTAGATGTCACGTGGGATCGGAGTTCCCTCATTTTCCGCAAGTGGTGCTCGCGTCGTTAGATCAGAGAAAATCAGAGGTCCTTATGTCTCCTTATGGTATTTGTTAATAAGAATAGCGTCGCCTCAGTTTCGCGCAGGGTGGCGCGCCGTTCGCCAAGATGGCCGCCGCGCGATTCGGGGGAGACTCGCGGGCTCGCGTCTCTCTCGCTCCTACTACGGGCCCGTCGGTCTGTCTCCGTCTTACGCGAGGCGCCCTCTGTCCCGGCCGGGCGAATTTGCATTCCGCGTTGCCACCGAGCCAGAGCGTCGCGCCTCCTCCTTCCCTCTCGCCGCGGCTCGGCGATTTATCTCTCTCGCGCCGGATAAACAGCGGGAGCGCGCCGATAAACACCACCGGGTGTACACGACCGGTCGCCCGGGGAAAGGGAGGAGAACGAGTGGACAAAAGAAACCAGGGTACGAGATTTTTTTACCCCGCCCGTATCTCGGTTTTTCCCCTACTCGACGAGTCTTTATCGCTCCGTGGCCGGCTCCGATTAAATCATCGATTATCTAATACGTTGGAGTAAACCCGCGATTCGTCGTGAACGGGGATTAACTATGACCGAGCGAGGAATGTCACTCGTCCGGCGGAGAAAAGTGCTAAATCTCGCGGAAATGCGAGATGACTCCCCCCGGTGTCACGTGACGAGCGCGCCGCCATCTTGGGTTGGTCACGTGGGCGGCTGGATTCGGGCTAGGAAGGGAGAGCTTTGTTTCTCCGATAGGGAATGTTAATAATTGATGATTGAGTTTATAATTGAAGGGGGCTAAAGACGGAATGAAGAGTTGGGAGAGGGAAATGCAATTCGAGGGGACGCAGGGATACGGTTTGAGTACAGGGAGACGGAAGGTGGGGTCTCTTCTCTCGAGCGCGGACGGACGGGGTAGCAACCCCGGGAAGGGGCGATCCGACGAGGGGGGGATTCTTTTTTCACCAGGAAGAGGAGCATCTTCGAAGGAACGGCGGTGGCGCCGGTTTAAATACCCCAGGGAAGACCGGTCTCCCTGCGGGGCCCCTCGCAGTGGAACTCAACCCAGCGCCGCGGCCCGTCGTGGGATTTCTCCGAACTAAACATTCGAACTCGACTCTCGACGACGTAGGAAATTTACGTAATATAATGCTATATATCTCGACCGTCGATAAAAGGCGCCGGCGCCATTTTCTCAAGCCGACCCATCTGTGGCCCTTTTTCTAAAATACGTCAGGGAGAAATTAATTGAATCTTGAGGTAGGCGTAGACTTCTTGCTGGACATTGTTTAAGGTAGGGTCGAAAATGGTGATAGCCACTCGCCTGGGAGGAATATTTCCCTTTTATTGGGAGTCTCGGAAATTGTTGATCGGAAGATAGAAGGCGCAGGCGCCATTTTCCGGATCGGGCCAATAGTCTGTTAGCGATGCACGTGGGCGGTTCCCCCCTCTAGGTACGAACTGAAAATGGCGAACGCCGAGGGTGGGCGCCCGACCCGTCGAGCTAGAAATACTCCTCGACCCGTTCCCCTAAACGGAGCCTCGAAATTGCAACAAGGTGGGTGGAACCCCCCGGAAGGTCGCTCCTCCGGAAAGGAATTGTCCGCAGGCGCCTCTGGAGGATTCTAGACGCGCTACGAAAAAAAAAAAAAAAAAAGAACAAGAAGAAAATAACCAATGCGGTCTGGCACCGACGTGAATCATAACCTCGTTCACCGGCACCAGGTGCACACTCACGTGTCATCGCTGAATGGGCTAGGTTATTAATTTAAGGTGCGAATAAGGAGGTGAAGAAAAGCGCATACCTCCGATTAATTTGAAACCTCGTATACCTAGGTATCTTGACCCACTGATTACGAATATGATAGTGAAAATTGACAGAAACGTTATCTTCGAGGAGAGAACGATCGTTGATACGTATATTTTCTTTAATTCTCACATTATTTCGATCGGTAAAGGGTTAGGAGAGAAAAAAGCTTCGGACAAAAGTTACGGCTCTTGAAGAAGTACATCTTTTGGGTTCTATACAATTTTTTTTCTTCCGTAGCCGTTTTCGACAAAATTCGAGATATGTTATTGGAGTGCAAAACCAGTGTTCGTACTACTAACCTAAACTGCCTATCAATTCTAGCCGCGACAGACAGTACCAATGTTCATAATAATGTATTCACTTTTTATTACGGGCGATTCATTTGACGGTCGTTAAATGAATTGTTAGCTGAAAAATTCGTTCGGGGAGGTACGGAGGGAAAAGTGTCGAGTCACCGTGTAGAAAGGCGGGAATAAAATGCGAGATATAGTTTTAAGGGAGGGGCGAAGGATCGACTCCCGGGACTCGGAATACTTCGGGCGTAATCGGCTCGTAATCGGCGCTCTCGCTTGCCCGTCTTCGGGACGCGCCCTATTCTTGGGTCGGGCCGGGTCGGGCCGGCTCGTGCACCGTCCACACGACCACGCCGTGGGAGCCTTAAAATAGCTCTCGTCACGGCCGGCGGCGACGTCGTTGAATCCAGTTGAACCGAGAGTGGGCCCCGAGTGGGCCTCCCGTGTGCCGGGAGGGGGGGAAGAAAAAAAAAACGAGAATCCTCTGGTCAACGGACCGTTCTTGTCGAGTCACATTCTGGACATTTTTGGACGCTATATATACGCACGTACATACTTACGTCGATGCATACATGAATATGTAATACATCCACGTGTGTGTACAAACACGCTAAGTACTTACTCCTTACCCTGCGTCCACTTCTCCGGGAAGGGGGGGGGGGGGTTAATCGCATGCGCCTTGAGAAATATCCCAGCTTCATAAAAACCTGAAACTAAGTACGTTTCAGACGCGATAATTGCGGAAGAAACTAACCTGCTTGATTTTTTTTTTCTTTTTCGTTTTTTCACGTCGCGGGGAAAAACGATGGAAGCACTTGGACGCGGAGAAACCGAGGACGCGTCGCTACCTGATTTTCAGAATCGGTCCGCCGCCATCTTGGTAATATGGGAGAACCTGCGTTACCTTCCTTTCCGGGTTTGTTTTATGCTTCGAGGTTTTCCTTCTTCTTTCGGGGGGTTTTGTGTTGCTGTTCGGGAGGCTAATTTTCATTTCTATCGAGAGGCGTGGCGTTTATCGGGGCTCCTCCGGCACTCTGGACGCTCCTGGCCCACTTGGCTCCGCGGCGACGCCGATGTGGTGTTGAAACCAGTCGAGTGACGTCATGTATAATTAGTTCTTTGATTCTGCCTGCCCCCCGGCCCTCCCGCGTTCCGGCGACCGCGGGCGCTTATCTCGGCGGGAATGCTAAAAATAGCTCCTGTCGCACGGCCACTGGCGACATTTTAAATGTTAAAACACCGACCGCGCGCTAAACCGGCCGAAGGAGAGGGAGGCGAACTCGCGACGTCTCGGCGGTGGCGCCATCCCTCGCCGAGACGGTCAACCCTGTCCTCCGTGTCGTACTGTTGTGCTTGCCGGTGAGAATTCAGGGTTACCGACTTCGTAGAGGGATCGATAATGTAGAATTCTTGGAAGATATCGCGTTTTTCCCGTATCGTGGGTAGAGAAGGTGAACTGTAATCGGTGGATGGTTACCATCTCCTGTGTGCGCGCAGTAAATGTCCGATTTATGGAGTATCTTAAGAGAATACAAGGAGACTCGCGTGGAAGGATCGATAAGGTAGAATTCTCGCGATTTTTTTCCTGATATCGAGGATGGGGACGGTGAATTGCAATTAGTTGATGGTCACCATCCTCTGTGCGCACTCTAAATCTCCGATTTATTGAATATTCTCTTAAGCGAATATCAGGACATTGATGCGCAGATGGGCTTACGAGGTGTTTGAACTTGCGCTCTTAAAAAAATTCACCCTGGACAGTCTACAGCCCCCGGGATAGCGTCGTTTATTAGGTCTAGGCCAGTTCTGAATTAGTACGAAAGAAATCTGCGATCGCTCAAGATTCAGGGCCTCTTGCTCTAAGAGAAGATCACCTCGGTCGCGCTCGTACACACCTTCAGGCGCTGTCGACACGAAAACTGGGTCGCTTCGAATTTTTCGCTCGCTTTCGAATCGCCACGCACGTCGACAGTGATTAACGAATCCTCGCCTCGTCGATGATTCAAAAGTCTGCTTCTCCTGGGCCACTATATATCGACTTTTTAACGGTTCGGAAGGAATTCCTGCGCGTCGGTCTTTTTGAATTAGAGAAACCCCCTTTGTTTTTAATGCCTTTTTAATTTTTACCGAATCTGTGTCTTCCGTGTCATGTTGAGAATCACTTGTCACGGCGGGTTTCGTCGTTAGAGAAGTGTGTCGCTCGAGTGGTTGGATATAAAAAAAATCGTCACGTGACCTCGGGCTCGCGGATTCCCCCTTCGGGCGGGCTCGGCTTATCTCGGCCTAAATCGGGCCCGCGGAAGGTGCGCGCGCACGCCGGGTTGAACCTCCGCGCCAAGCCGGTGAAAGGAAGCGACCGGTGGAGGAGCGGCAGAGTCATCCGGAACTCCGCGGAAACGAGTCGCGACTTAGACTCGGGGAAAAAAGAAAAAAAAGAAAACGCATTCCCGCGGAAACGTGGAAACGTCCATTGGCGGAAAGGAAGGATATAGGAGGCTAAAGGGATTCGTAGACTAAACTTAAACATTTAAAATGAACTTACGGTCGAGTTAAAAGGGAGAAACAAATGTGCCTTGTCGATTTTAAGGTGATAAGGTGGAAACGACCTTCAGTGCTGCGAGGAGAGAAATTTGCCGAAGGAGGATATTACGCTGAAGGTTTTGAAAAATGCATTTTGGAGCTTAAGAAGATGATTTTACGCTAGGAAGAGGTTACGTCGACCTTGGGGAAACGCTCTCCAGGTTTCCTGATAACGTTATCCGGGCTTGAATGGGATTTCTTTTATGTTCATCTCGTTATATAAATGTGATTTTTCAAAATAAAGAGTATGTGAGGAGGAGGAGGGACGAGAGGGGGACTTTCGAGGAGGAAAAAGAACGAGATTTATGATCCTTGAGGACGGAAGTGGAAATTGAAGGATATTTTATCTCGGATCGAAAACTCCATTCGATATCCTGGACGTCGTCTTCGAGAAGAGAGGTCTCTCGAAGGATCGACCTCGAGGACTACGTGCTGCTCCGGAAGTTAACTTCCGAGAAGCCTTTAGCTCAGGAATAAAAATAGAACACGGTCGAGTCCTGCGCAAGGATACTCAACGTATGAATATCTTCGAGGCGAGGTTTAAAATTTATATAGAGGAAAACCAGGACTGCACTTTGGCTTAGGCGAATCCCCCGGAAGAAGCTTCCTTCGGAAATACGAGAAAAGTCGGAAAAGCCGAGGGGACTTCGTCTGTATTAAATACAGATGGCATTTTGCGAAAAGTGATTCCGATCTTCTGGGATAAAACTTCGAGAAGCTTCGAAACGAGGCTGGGGAAATAAAAATAGACGCTCGTCTTATGTAAGGATACGTGGAAATTGAAGTAAAATTGCGACGTTCGATGCGTAAATTCAACGGAAAGGAAACGACGGTTAACGAGGGATTTAATTCTAATGACTTTGTACAAGCTGGGCTCCCTGCGAATAAACAGGGAAATATTGGGAAAGAAATATGTAAGAGTTCACGCGGCGCTGGGGAACGGCGGCCATCTTGGAAATCGTGGACGGACGCGGAGTAGCTTTTCTTTTGCAAGAAACAACCGAGAAATAGAACGCATCGAGTGCGAGATACGACAGGAGAATATGAGTTATATCCTCGTTTGCATCCTCGAAGAAGGAAACCACGTATATTTCAAGCGGATAAGAAGATGCGATCACTTTTGACGAGCCATTGTCGCGTCTCGTCGCCGGCGAAGTGCTCGAGGGCGTCCTTGCAAGTTTCGGACCCAATTTTCTCGGCAATTTTTTAGAAAGGTTTAGAGGGCGTCACTGGGAGTGGTTTTTAATATTTATTAACTAGACTAAGAGGAGAATCGGAAGAGCAAAATGGATTCCATAAGGGACTTGAAGAGGCTTCTCTACGAGCGAACCGAGGCTCTTCGTCGGCGCGACGAGACCGTGGAGACTCTGGAGAAGACCCTGGAAGAAAAAGAGGCGACGATTCGCCATCTGAGGAACGAGATCGACAAGTTTCGACAGATCGTAGAATTCGGGATGTCCTCGGGTCCCTTGGGACCCGAACAGAGGTCCAAAAGACAAGCCATATCCGCGGAGCCCTTGAAGAACGACTCCGTCCCCGTTCCGAAATTCGGGAAACCTCAGAGGTACGGTACTCTTTCCCGGATTTATTTCCCCGAATTAATTTCAGAGACATTCACCGAAAGATATTTTCATCCTCAGCCTGAGATACCAAACTAAGGAACGATCGAGACGGAAGGGAAAAAGCGCGAGCGGAAATAATGAATACACGGTTAGATAATCGACGCCGCTGAATTTCAAAATGGCCGCGGGGTTCACTTCGATAGATTTAGATATAAATTCATTATTAACGCACAATAGAGAATAAGTAATATCTCACGCCGTCGAAATTAATGCGGTTCTCTTTTGCGCGATTATTTTTTTTTTTTTATTCTTGACACGCGTCCCCTTCTAGAGGTAGTGGACGTTAAAAGTGAAACCTACGCCGAGGTTTGCGTAATTTTTCGAAGGCTCTTCGGGGTTCCGGTCACGGCGCTGCCAAGGCCTTCGATACTCCACTTTCGGTGGCTCGAGAAAGCACTTTCGGTGCTCTCCATTTTCCCCTTAGAACTTCGGATCAACTCACTCGGGTTGGGAGTTAAGGTGACGCGAAAGTGGCGTCGGAGAGGTTTTGTTTATAAAACTTTTCTCCCAACTAGGTTTGCCGAATAGTTTGAAACTTCGTTCATGATTCGTCGGGAATAATCCCATTGCGAGATGCGAGGGTCGATGGGCTATCATTGAGGACGCATTCTGCGACCAATGATGTCCAATTAGAACCTCCTTGGCCCGAAAGCGAAGTCTCGTCGAGCTTCTTCTCGACGCCTCTTTTGGAGCCTTGGACAAGAGGCGAAGAAAAATAATGCCCGACTATTATTTAAAAAATGGGTACACCCGTAGGATCGAATTGAGAGCCTTGTCAATTTTCTTCTTAAGTCGGTTTAAAAACGTACATTACGCATGGACGTACTCAAAGGGTACGTTTGTTAGGGTGGAATTGAGAACCTTCTGAAATTTTTCTTTTTTAAGCCGGTTAAAAATCACGGCAGCGGGAGAGGAGTCCCTGACCTACCCCAAGCGCGGCCCAGGTCAGGGCCAAGGCCAAGGATGGGCTTCGCTTGGCTCGGCTGTTAAATAAGGCATCTTTTTATAGATATATATATACATATAATTTTCCTCTCGTTTGTAAATGCACGCAATAATTTTCCGCTCGCTTGTAAACGCGAAAAATAATTTCCCGCTCGCTTGTAAACGCGAAAAATAATTTCCCACTCGCTTATAAACGCGAAAAATAATTTCCCGCTCGCTTGTAAACGCGAAAAATAATTTCCCGCTCGCTTATAAACGCGAAAAAGGTGATACGAAACCGATGTCCGAGGAGTCTCGGTTGACGCATATTTAACATTTCTTTTTAAAATCCTTTACTAAGCGATTTTTAATCCTCTTTTCACAGGTCTCGGGAGCTCATCAAGGGCGCCATCCTGGACAATGACTTCATGAAGAACCTGGAGTTGACGCAGATCCATGAAATCGTGGACTGCATGTATCCCGTCAGCTTCCCCGCTGGGTCCATCATCATCCGCGAGGGAGATGTCGGCTCCATCGTCTACGTCATGGAGAGTGAGTCTGCTTGATGATTTTTCTCCCCTCTTTTTTTCTTTTTTTTTCTTTTCCAAATCCTAGAAGTCCTTCTCGCCCTCCCATCCCTTGGGACCTATGCAAGCGTCGCGACCCTTAAAATGGAACGCCGCCCTTATCAACTAAGAATTGTTGGTATCTAAGTCTAGTCCGTGACCCCAAATATTTTCTGACATACTTTCCGAGAAATATTTAATATCGCGAGGTTCATATCGAGCCAAGGGATTGGCTGTGAATTTTTTTCTGAGCTTAAGGAGATGTGGATCGGATGAATCATTGGATTGCCGAATTTCGGGATCGAATTAGGAAATTAGCTGTTACCGGATCGGCTGATCGCCGGGTGGAGCCGGATCGGATTGCGTAACGAAGTCGGAGGCGAAAGTGGACCTCTTCGGGGCCCATGTCCTTGCTCCTCAGGACCTTTCACCGGAGACAACGGCCGGGTACGGCTGGCAACAGCTGACGGCCATTCCGGCTCCAAGGATGACTGCCCGTCGAAAGGAGCACCGACGTCGGGGCCGAACGAGTCCTGGACAAAGGAGCCCACGAGAGGCGAACGACCTCCAGGAAACGGGGAAACTCGAGAGAGATCCTTGGATGCCTTTGATAGTTTTTTTTTTCTTTTTTTTTTTGCGACGACTTTTGGAAACAGTCTAGGACGAAGATCCTTCGACGACGATCAGGTGAAAGAAAGTGGTCCTTGATGTCGAGAGGAACGTCAGGACTAAGTCCTGGATAAAGGAAGAAAGAGAAATCACCTCTAGGAAGGAGGGAAAGAGGAAAGAGGAAAATCCTGGAGCCTCGGGGTCGTCCTTTGGAGCATGTCGGTCCTTCGAGATGTTTTCACGTAGAGATGGAGAGGTCTTTCCATCTCGAATCGAGGACGAGGAAAACTCGGGGAAAGTCCTCGGGAAGAAGCGGAGAAAGTCGATCTCGTCTGTCATCCGTGGAGTAATCCTAGTAGAGCCCGGGACTAGGGAAACTCCAGGATCCTGGAAAAAAGGGACCTCGTCCTTATTTTCAGGATCATTGGCAGGAATGCAGGTAATGATAGAGAACCTTTTCACCCTGGACCAAGAAGGTCCTTTTCAAGGATGACCGCTTTAGAAGTACTCTCGGACCACATCCTGGACAAAGGAGGCCCCAAGAGGAAGAGCTGTCGAGGGAAAATAGGACCTCTCGTCTTCGCTCGGATTTTTGCAGACGTCGAAGACACCCCAAGGCTAGTTCGAAGATTACCGAATGACGTACTCCTGACATACCGGACTTCTCCAAAAGCCCATCAGGGCCTACTCTTCTAGAACGTTCGAAAAGTGTTTTAATACCTCTTCGGGAATGTCCTGAATTTTTATTCCCACCCTATCGCCGTACCACGTTATCGAGTAGCGCACTCTCATCATTGCCCGATGACGAAACTCGGAGCAATTTCGAAACTCCCGGTTGAACGGACGCAATTGGGCCCGAGGAATTACGCGCTCCGATAAGAGCGACCACCCTCTCTCCGAAAGATTTCCGGAGAACCTGGTCCTTCACGGGACCGGGTCCCCGGGATGAGCACCTCTTCTCGTGGGCGCGTCGACGGAGCCTCGATTTGAGCGCCGCCGCTCCTTTCTCTGGCGGCCCAGGCCGAGGAGTGGGGGGCCGAGCGGCCCGACTGGCTCGGGCGCAGTCGGGCACCTTCGGCGGCGTCCGCGCGCCGCCGGCCGCGCTCGGTCCTCCTCGGCCGCTGTCGGGCCCGCCGGCGCGGCGGTGGGGGGCCCAGCCAGTGGCCGGCCGCGCCGCCGCCGTTTTCACCAGTCGCGCGGTGCACCGAGCGGGCACTGCACGCGGGGAGAGAGAGAGGTAGAGCGACCGAACGAAAGGAGAGAAAGGGAGAGAGTCGAGCACCAGGATCACCCGGGGCCGACCTGGAGCGTCCCGGTAGGGCCCCGCGGGTACTCGGGCCCCAAAGGGACCTTCCGGGGACCATGAGGACCTCTGCGATCCTGTCCACCTCGAGGAGGTGCCTTTCGACCTTCCGGTAGGGCCGCGCGGATCGGGACCTCCGTTATTCCTACTTCGATATTCCCATTTTTTTTTTTAATACTTATTTTTTTTATTCCTTTACTTTCACCTCTATGTCGGGTTGTCCCATGTATTACGTACTTTCAAACGGGTATTTTGCAACGAGCCACGTATTAGTCATTTAAATAAATTCAGTACACTTCGTTAATAATTTCATTAATTTTTATAAGCTCTGAAATAAAATCCGTTCGCCATTCCTATGGGACAATCCGATCTAAGGGACCCTGGAAATGACAATCGATCGTGCTCGGGCGACTAGGGGTGCTCAACCTGGTGGAAGGTAGGTGCTCCGTTCTCGTACCGGATACTCGTGCGTGCGTAACGCTCGAACGGAGTGCGTACCCCAGTTGCGAGATACGCCTCGACGTGCTCGGTCTACATGTCGCGAGGATTTCGCGGGCAGATCCGATGATAAGGGTCTTTCGCGAGATCTAGACGAGGGGGACACCGATGTGTTTGAGCACGCTAATTGTCCGCGGACGAGACATCCGGATATTTGTACGAGGAATAACGGAGCGTACCGATAAGACTCTCGTGAAAAATCGCCGCGATTCTTTCGACCCTGGTTCACCGAAGGAGAAAGGCGACTTTTAACCTCGACTAGCGAAAAATTTGGATTCCTTCTCACTAGGGAAAAAGAAACGGACATTTTTCTATTACTCGAAAGGCGGAATTTATCGCATAAGCTTGGTCATGAGACCAACTCCTTTCCACTTGGAAATGTTAATAATATTTGCCGTTCCGTAAATTCCTTTATAAATGAGACAAGGTATCCGAAGGCCACTCGGGACGAGGAAAGTCCTCGCGGGGATTTTCTCTGTTTGGTTTAGTCGTCTTTTCCGATTAATCGGAGAGAAATCACTTGTTTATAGAATAAATAGAAAGGATTCTTCTGTGAGCCTCGGTGCGTCCATTTGGTCGACTATCGCTTGATCGGGCTCGGGAATCTCGCCCATATGTCGGAGTTGCCTGGCGGTCGATCCGCTAGTCGTACACCCGCATCCGACGTTTGGTCGACTATCGCTTGCCCGTGCTCGGGAATTTCGCCCCTACGTCGGAGTTGCCCTTCAATCGAGGGTCGTTACTTCAAAGGTCCCGATTCGCGCAGTCCTAGAAGTGAGTCCCCGAGTGCGACGAGCCATCCCTCGGGATGAAGGTGCGCGGCTATCCGGGGCGGGCCGTCCTGGAGGACCCGGAGCTCGCCCTGGACCCGGACGCGACGAGGAGACGCACGATGGAGCTCCTCTACGAGGCCAGCTGGCGGGAGTGCGGCGTCAACTGGACCAACTCCCGGGGGAACGAGGGCGAGGGGTCCAGGAGGTCGAGCAGCGGGGAGGACACCGACACGACCGACAGCGAGGCTTCCCAGGAGATGGGGTACGGCGAGGCTGGAGAGACGAGAGGAGACGAGAATCCCAGCCCGGGGTTCCTCATCCCCAGGCCCAGACTCATCGTCCCGGTGCACACCTACGCCAGGAGGAGGAGGACCGGGGCGCCCCAGCCTCTCGCCAGGAGACCCAGGAGAGAAGCCAGAGGCGAAGGTAGAGGTTCTTTTCCTCCGGAGCTGGAAAATCGATTCCTACCGCGAAAGTTCCTGAGAGGAACCTGATAAATCCTTGTTACGATAGGACGTTAATTCTTAGTCCCTAAAATTATGTATAGCGATAATGTACATGTACTTGTACAAGGTGTGTACATTCGGCGCGGGACTCTACCGAGTTTCCTGGCTCGAGGAGACATTCGAATCGGAGACTTGAACGTCCAATAAGCGATGTCACGAGTCGGGAAGAGGATTATTCTCTGAACGTCGAAAAGACCGAGGGGTCTTATCGCTCCCCTTATTCTGTCTCCTTACCTTATCTCCGAGGTTTAACCTTTCCTCTTCGGGCTCGGAACAGGTCGTGTTTTTCTACGCCGAGGCGACCTACTACGGGTCGACCTCGAGGTCGATTTTTTACGCTTTGATAGAAGCTACCAAAACTTGAGGAAAAGTACTTTGCAAATTTTAGAATTACTTAAATTTAAGGAATTAAATGTGGCGAATGGTCGAGTCGAGAAGGCCGAACCTGACCTAGGCCAATTGGTAGAGTTCGAACCGCCTTCTCCGGGATCGTCGAGGAAAATCCCGTTACCTGGGAAAGTGAGTTTCCCGCTCCTTCCTGGATTTTCAGGAAGAGGGGGCCCTATGTGAGAACCACTGGCCGGAAAGTTCAGTTACGCGCCGCTAGGGGTACAAGGAGAATAGAACTCGGGGCCCGCTCTTTCTCCTCGGGAAGGCGCCGTGACCAACTGCTCCCGGATCGCTCTTGAATGTCAACGGGAATTTTATATATAAATATATATATTTATTTATTTATATATTATATATATTTATTTATTTTTTTATTTATTTATTGTCCTCGAAATGACGAAACAACTGAGCGATCCTAAATTTTCTTTTTGTTTCAATTCCTGAAATTTCGATTTTCTCCACCTGGATTTTTTCCTAACTTTCCTCACAATATCGACGGTGTTATTGAAAAAATATCTGCATCCTAATTGAGGAATTTCACCATTAGCTTCATCTTGAAAATCTCAGGGGAAATAAAAATGCCTAGTGCGGGAAAGAAAAAAAAAAGGGAATAACGAAATTCGAGGCGTATTTTCAATATCCTGCGGTCACCCTGGACGGAGATTCTTGGCATCGCTCGTGGACGGGTTTCCGAGATAATTTTTCAAGCCGCGGGGATATTTTTATGCTTTTTATCCCCCTGGGAACGTTCCCAGGTCCTGTCGAAATCCCAGGGATCGGATTTCGAGTCCTGGCTCGAAGGCGACTCGGATTCCTCCCGGAAGTGCGCATCTTGGCTCTGTCTCTTTCTCCTCTCGAATAACCTCGACAAGACAATCGAGATTTTCAAAACAGACCGTCAAGAATGTTAACAAACTTTCCTACCGTCGGGCGATTCTACTCGCGATCCAGCTCGCGGTGGAAAAACGGTATAAATTATTGAATCACTGCTAAATATGAATTTTTTTTATTGTTTAGGCTTATAGGGATGATTGTTTTTTTTTTTCACTACCTAGGTTTTTAGGGATCTGATGGATTAAGGGGCTCGATTAAATTCATTTAATGTCGAGTTTATTAATGGATGGTATGACTATTACTTGAGGAGAGGTCAGGGTTAAGATGTGTTACGGTCAATGAATGTCTATTTACAGTCTGAAATTACGGACCCTTGTTTACAATGCACGATCGTATCGAACTCCGGCAAATTAGTCCTCAGGTCCGATAGGAACGACTTAATCAGCGTTCGCTCTTCTCGTTCTGCTCCAGAAACTGTCTGGCAGGGAGATAATCGAATACCGATTGTAAAAGTGACAGTGACCTTTTGTTGGGAAATAGACGACACGAGGGGATTAATTTACTCTTATTAAGCTCTCCTGGAAGGCGGGAAATATTTTCGAATACGCGCCGGGATGTCGATTCTCGTGGATTTCGGGTGAGAACCTCTGGACTGGAAGGCAAGTCACCGTATTAAACTGGGACAACCGCTGTAAGACTGTAAACCGCTGGCGGTGGCATGTAGCAACGCGTAATAGTGACTCGACTCGTGAAAGGAGATACCCGACGACCAGTTCGGACTCTTCCCAACCCGAGGTTCCGAATTGCTCCATGCTTCCCCCCAAAAACCGGCCCTCGCTCGTCAAAACTTCGCCCTAAGCCGCGTCTCTGTCGCGCATCGGATTCCTCGAAAAAAACCGAGTGGAAAACCTCTTTTGCACATTTTCGAGGGAGCTATAGTTCTCGAGATATTCGAGGCCGAAGTTGCGCATTGATGCGCGGTCAGCTGACCCGGTGGGGGCGTGGCCACGAAGTAGACCCGCCACCTGATTGGTCGACTTCGTTATCAAATATCTGGAGAACCGTACGTCTCACGGGAATTTCCAAAAGACATTTTCTACTCATTTTCCCACGATCTTTCGGGTGGAGAGGCCGGAGCCTTTATCGTTCATTTTCCTCGCGGGGAAATGATCCCGAAGAATTGCAAATGGCAGGAGCGCTAGGAAAGCGGCCGAGTCAAGTGGTATATCGTGTCCTCTCGAGACGAGAGAGAAAGAGAGTAGTCTGGGGTTTGATGTCGTCATCGACGCGGATGTCCCTCGCGATTCGGATTAATTGGGACAAGTATGGTCCTCGGCGGAGGAGAGGGACACCCACGCGAGTGAGACAACGCATGCACAATGCTCATAGCCGGATGGAGTATCTCCCTTTCCCTCCAAAGTTGTTCCGAAGAGCTGGACAAATTCGCCCACTCCTTGGCTCGTCCTTTTCCAGATGACTTTTATCTCCATCGATCCAAGGGAATTTAATTAAACCATATTTCCACTTAGATCCTCGTTACCATACCCCGTTATAATTTAACAATTTTAATTTTCCAAGTTACACGTGACTTTCATAAATACCGACTTTCTTAACCCCTTGGCTACTACGAGCGCCTACAGGCGTCCGACGATTTTTTACGAGGGTTTCTTCTCGCAGAGGGCAAGGTGGAGGTCTCGAGGGACGGCAAGTACTTGAGCACCCTGGCTCCTGGGAAGGTCCTTGGGGAGCTGGCGATCCTTTACAATTGCAAGAGGACGGCTACTATCACTGCTGCCACGGACTGCCAATTGTGGGCCATAGATAGACAATGTTTCCAGACTATCATGATGAGGACCGGCCTGTCTCGGCAGGCCGAATATACAGACTTTCTCAAAAGGTAGAGTCCAATCAATTTTTAAGCTCGATTTTCCAAAATAGGATCTCCGTGAATATAATTATCTCTTCCTATCGCGTTATATCTCTTAATATTCCTCTCGAACATAATTTTTGTTTGTATCGAGAAAGAAAAGAAATTTGAAATTACCGCCAAAAAAGTTCTCTGCAAGTGACATTTGTCCTGGGATTCGATGGGACGGCCTAATATCGTAATTAAATCCTGGAGAAGAAAAAAATGTCTCTGGGATAGGAGGGTAATTTTAGATCGCCCTGATTGGGTTTTTTGCTTGTCTCAGGGACGTCTAAAATTTCTTCCCACGTCAAAGTTCGACGTGGGAATGATTAATTGTTGAGACGCCGATGCTTCTTTGAGGAAGAGCCAGCTGTGTAAATATAGGGAGACGATCTGTGGCGTCGTCGCCTCGTTCGTCTTTAATTTCTGCTTCCTTGTTACCCCTTTCCTTTTTTCTTTCTTTTCTTTCGGGAGCCGGCTTGTTTATACCGGTGACGAAATTACGCCGGTAAACGAAAACTTCGGAAGCCGGAAGCTATTATCGACTCTCGACAATATATGTATATCGATGTTCGTAATGCCGGAGTCCGGTGGACCGTGCATTCCGAAATGGTCGGTCATTAAAATTTTATTCCCCGTTTCTCGGGTACTCGGGAATTACGTACGGTACGAGTTTATATTCAATACATCTTCTTGCATCTAATGCAAATTCTCTGGCTCATGGTATTAGATACGTAAGGAGTTATTAATTCATTTCACTCTCGCCGCGTCGAGGACAGCGCCGCCATGTTGCTTTCGGTCCTCGAGGGAAATTCCACTTTTCTGACTTAATAGTGCCCGGCACAAGAAAATGCGTCCAATAAATGTCGTAGGGCACGATGCGTGGAATAACATTGATTAATGGAGTTTTTTTATATTATACGTCGTTTAGATGGGAAATTGCATTCGGGGGCGCGGGATAACCGCGGCGTCGTAACCGGACTTAGGATCGTGGGAAATCGATATCTTAGCCACGACTTGGAATATTGCACAATATTCTGGTTATATCTTGACAATGTCGCAACTCCTCTGTTACATTTCTGGGCCGTTTTGCAACAATCTGCGGGTTTGATAAAAAAAGGATCGGGAATTGTCGCGGCTGCAACGGGCTCGATCGAATGTGCAAATCGTCGGTGAAACAATGCTCGAGTGGTCTCATTTAATGCTTCGCGAAACTCGAGGAAGTATTTTCACCGGAAGCCTTATCCGCGTGGATCGATCTATTAACATAATTTCCCATTACGTTTCAGTGTTCCGATTTTCAAGAATCTGCCGGAGGAGACTCTCATCAAGATCTCCGACGTGTTGGAAGAGGTAAAATAATTCCCATCGTGTCCGGTCAATTTTTAATACTCGAATCACTGTATAACAATATCGATTTTCAGACGTTCTACAACAATGGCGATTATATTATCAGACAAGGAGCACGAGGGGATACCTTTTTCATTATTAGTAGAGGCCAAGTGCGCGTGACGATTAAACAACCTGACACTATAGAGGAGAAGTACATCAGGACCTTGGGCAAGGGTGACTTCTTCGGGGAGAAGGCTCTTCAAGGGTAAACAAGACATTCCTTATCATCTTACTTTCTACATTTGTATGATAAGAAACGTGAGAACACGAGACATCTAATATAACACTTGATATTATATGATACCTCGTGAGAAAGAAATTAATATATGAAATCTGACACGATAAGGAACGTTATTAAATTGCTGATAATATTTCTGCTGGTTCAGGGACGACCTGAGGACGGCCAACATTGTTGCTGACGACCCAGAAGGAGTCAGTTGTCTGGTCATCGACCGGGAGACCTTCAATCAGCTGATCTCCTCCCTAGACGAGATTAGAACAAGATACAAGGACGAGCTCGTCGAGCGCAGAAGGTAAATCCATTGTTTAGCTCCCCAAAGCCCGTGAAAAAAATCTTACGAATCGTTGGAAAATAGAACATGACCCGTTTCCACGTGTACTTTCCAAGTTAAGACTCTGAAATTATGTTTCACGCCTTGCTCAAGGATCGGCGAAATATCGTCGCCGAGGAACACGAGAGTAAGTCACGCGTCGAGGAGATTGCATTTTCTTTTTATTCTTTCTTTTGGCGCTGGTGTAAAGGATGTTTATCCTTTCTTTTAAGAGATCAATCGACGTTCCAATCAGATTATTTTTAAAAATCACGATTTTTATTAACAACCTGCGTACCACCCGGCACGATTGCACTGTTAGCACTTTCATATCGCAAAGTGTGATGGGACATTTTTTTTTTTTAAATTAATTATCATTAATTTTTTAAAGAAATCCTGATTTTTATTTTTACCCTGGTTCCTTCCAGTTACCCTTTACCAATGAATCTCTCTTTTCTCAGGTTGAACGAGGAATTCAGAGAGCTTCGACTAAACGACCTGAGGCCGTTGGCTACTCTAGGTGTAGGTGGGTTCGGCAGGGTAGAGCTGGTGCAGATCGCAGGAGACGGCTCCAGGTCGTTCGCCCTGAAGCAGATGAAGAAGGCGCAGATCGTCGAGACCCGACAGCAGCAGCACATCATGTCCGAGAAGAGGATCATGGGCGAGGCCGACTGCGACTTCGTCGTGAAGCTCTTCAAGACCTTCAAGGACAGGAAGTACCTGTACATGCTGATGGAAGCCTGTCTCGGTGGAGAACTCTGGACCGTCCTGAGGGACAGGGGACACTTCGACGACGGCACCACCAGGTTTTACACGGCTTGTGTCGTCGAGGCCTTCGACTACCTGCACTCCAGGAACATCATCTACAGGGATCTCAAGCCGGAGAACTTGTTGCTCGATAGTCACGGGTAACGTCGCGATCGCTTTTAAACTTAATTTCTTAAAAAAAAAAAAAAAACGAAGCGTGAAAATTATATTAAATTTAGGTAATATAGTTTTAATGGGTTTACCTGTAAATAGATAATGTCAAAAGCGCGGTAAGTTAAATTCCGGAGGGTGGAAATTATTCCTAAAATATTAATATAGTATTTATAACGCGTCTTGGGAATGGCTCGGTAATGCAGGCGAATTTCAGGTACGTCAAGCTGGTGGATTTCGGATTCGCGAAGAGACTGGAGAACGGGAAGAAGACCTGGACCTTCTGCGGCACTCCGGAATACGTCGCCCCGGAGGTGATCCTCAACAAGGGCCACGACATCAGCGCCGATTACTGGTCCCTGGGAGTCCTCATGTTCGAGCTCTTGACCGGAACACCTCCGTTCACCGGCGCCGACCCCATGAAGACTTACAACATCATCCTCAAGGGAATCGACGCCATCGAGTTCCCCAGGACCATCACGCGCAACGCCACCGCGCTCATCAAGAAACTCTGCAGGTACTTGCATGATATATTTTTTTACATTTTCATTTATCATTTTCCCGGCTCCAAGAATAATATCATTAAATAAACCTCCTTTCTGACCTTCCATTCCTTCCAGGGATAATCCAGCGGAGCGTCTAGGTTACCAGAAAGGCGGCATCAGTGAAATTCAGAAGCACAAGTGAGTTACCGATTTTCACGCGTTCAGAAGTATGCATATGTATAATTTTTAATGTGTACATTTACTTGCAATGCATGCATATATTTATGTACAGATGGTTCGACGGGTTCAACTGGGAGGGACTCAGGGCGAGAACTCTGGAGCCTCCTATTATGCCAAGAGTCCAGGGTGCCACTGATACCGCAAACTTTGACGAGTACCCACCGGACTCGGATCCACCTCCTCCGGATGACACCTCCGGCTGGGACAATGACTTTTAACCCCAGAGTCCTTTTCGCGTCCTCGAGACGGCGAGGTATTATCCGGTAAGGACGAAAGTCCTCGGAGGAGACTCTTCTCGGTTTATAGTAATTTCTTGCTGTCCGAACCTCATGCTGAATTTTTTATTCTCCTCCTGAAGATGGTGCGATAGGTTCAATTGGGATGAGCCGAGTGTCGGGACGCCCTGGAGTAGTTGGACGTGTTTTTCCACTCCTGGGCATCGTCGACGTCGGGGATTTCTCTACGAAGGTCCTCCGGGCGAAGACCATCACCGGGGACCAACTTCTCTTAATTCAACGCCCTCGTGTCGAGGCGGGGATTTTATTCCTGTGGACGGCCTCGTGGTTAACCCGAGAAATCGCGACGGTCCTCGGCAGGCTGATCTCTCGACTCGACGATGTACAATCTTAATTTCTAACCACGCTGATAAGGAAATTGACGCGAAGAGCTATGCCGGCAAGATGAGACGTTTTTAACGGCTGCGAAGTTACTAAATTGTATAAAAGGTTTGTGCAATATGGCGTCTCACCGCGCTCGAGTATGTCGACCTTGCGACTCTGTTGGAATATTGTAACGATATTGTGCAATATAATCGTACCGATAGTTATATCGCGAGAATGTTGAGATGTTCGGCAGTTACTGTTTAAAAAGAAAAAGAAAGGAAAAAAGGCATCGCTACAAAGCTGCGGCCAGTAATATCGAGTTAATCTTGCTTCGTGGCGATCTTAACCCTTCCCTGTTTTATCAAATTTGTACATATCGAAACTGTTTTGCGGCAATTTTTTTTATTGATATCGTAACGAGGAGCGACCAGTGTTTCGAGTTGTACGGGTCGAGGGCTCGGGCTTATTCCGACTAGGGAAATTTTCTCGTGAAGACGTCCCTCCCGAACGACCCGCTGATGCGTTTTTCCCCCAGGAGTTCCGTCCTCCTCTCGAGGACGAGCTGGGAGTCGACGATCCGTACTTACGTCGGGCCGCAGGTGGAGGGACGTTTCCACTCGGAATTCCGAAGCGACGGATGAGGGCGAGATTTTTAGATTTTATATAAATATATAAATATATATATATAAATATATTTTCGCACGATAAACGCGCGAGCCGCGAGTGCCATTTTCCCCCAGATGCGGTTCCAGGCGAAGACCCGACTTTCGCCCTCCATATTCGCCGACGAGGCGCGTGAGCCTGCTAAATTAATTGTTGTTTGATCCATTTTATAGTTTATTATGACAATTCTATTTTAATTATACGAGAAAATGTGTAAATAAATCAATATACATACGTGAAGCGTGTGGCCATGTTTAGTCGGATGACTTTTACTCGATAGAGAGATCTCCTTTCATTATTTAACCTGGGTATTAGGTTTGAAGGTGTTAAGGAACGTTAATTTTAACGCTATGGTTTCTTGTATTCACATGGGGGTGTAGAATTTAAATGTTTGAATTTCCCGCCTTGGGCGGAACCGCGTCAATACACCCACTGCCGATAAGTCGGGAATAATACCGTGGTGTGCTGCCAGAACCTTTTTTTTTTTTCTTCCAATTCATCATGGGTAGTTCATCCTCGCAGATCTTCTTGGACTTGGCTAAGAGATGTTAAACGATGTAAAACGATGTTTGTTATCCCAAAGATGAGGAGGATTCCTGAATTGGCCGCCATTGGGGATTATCAGGTTAGCGTCCACATCCTCCACCGGGGGGTAGCACAAGATGCGATCGCGCAACCCTTCCTGAGAGCAATCTCCTACTCATCAAAGGTTTAGTTAGCGACGCGCTGGGAGGTTCGCCGAGTCGCCGCAACGTCGCGAGAGCGCGGCGGTAGCTGGCGACCCTCTTGCTCGGTCAGAGTCTATGGAGTGTGAAGTTGTGTTCGAGGCATGGCGACACCCGACCCTGTAGACCCGGCCAGCTTAGAAATCAAAACCCGTAGCATAGAACAGACACTACTGCCGCTGGTCAAACAGGTAAGACCTGACGGCGTAGACGATCGTCCCTTTCCTCGAATCCGTGCTCGTTTTCGCAGCCTACTTTCTCCCGCGTCGGCCATTCCCGCAGTTATACAGTGTCCGTTTCCCGGAGCGGCACATTGCCCGTCCAGTCCACGGACTTGGATTAAGGGGACGGTGCCTCGGCGGCCATCTTGGGTTGCGCGACCCCCTCTCGACTTTTGTTGACATCTGCCAGACTCGCCCCGCGCGAGCTGAAGAAAGATCGATAAATCGATATGCTAACCCGGGAAACCGTACGAGCGATATTTTGTATAGCGATGCAACGAAAAAAAAAAGAAATAAACGGATCGCCGCCGCGCTGGAAGTGGAACTTCTTATTCCTATCTCGAGTGTCAATGATTAACCGAGGTTTAAGGAATTAACCGAGGTTTACGCAAACCGTCTGTCTATTAGCGCGAATGGATATCAATCCACTGCAAATATAGAAATAAGCGTTTCACGCCTCGTTACGCTGCTGTTTCATTTTAATTAAGCTCACGGAATGTTTAACTTAGGAAATTAATGCCGTAGGGACGTGGAGGAATTGTTGTTAGGTGTTTCGCCACTCGTCCGACGTCGCTTTGATTTTTTATTCGGGATGTATCGCGCGAAGGACGTTCCTGCACCGAGGGCACGTCGCTCGGCTCCGCGTTGCAACAAGTGATGCATATAGGTGCTAAACGCGGAATGATCAGTCAAAAAGTTTTACGATGTGACCGTCGTGAGGGAAAAGGTGGCTGTGTGCTCCGGTACGTCATATACTCCAATATATACCATACAAAGAGAGAAATAAAGAATATGCCGCGAGGAGTCGCTCGGCGTTGGCGCCGCCATTTTGAATCTTGATATTCCCACTTCAGATCCGGACGGGACGAGGAGGCGAGATATTTCGACGCTAATGCATTCGCCGGATGATAATAGTCGGGCTGGTGCCACTTCTACGACACGAGGATGACAGCATCCCCGGGAATATCGCCGCCGGAGACGCGTTATCACCGTACACCCCATTTAATCTATCACGGTGGAAACGGAACGTTCAGACCGAACTCGAGGCAAACAAAGTTCCGCCGTGAAATTCAGGTTTGACGATGATACGGTTTAACCCCGGGCTTCGTTTCACGTGCGGTTAAAGCAATTTGTCACTTTCGTTTTTCACAGGTGATGCAGCTCAACCCCCACCGACGAGCGGCGGGAATATAGCTGTTTTGTATGTCGGAAAAGTCCCGATAACGTGACTCTAGAAAGAGGTCGTTAGACTAATGCCGGTGAAAATTCTGGAACTAGGAGAGATGCCGTATTCAGTTTGCAAATCGTCGAACGGTCGCGAAACTCGAAAATGAATAATACGGGGAGGTGAGGTGAAATAAAGAGACAGGAATAACGTGGAGAAAAAGGAGGGCGGGAATTAAAAGGTAGACTATCAAGACACGTTACTCCAAGAGCATGTGCAATTTCCATGTACAAAGGAAAGGGTTTCGTGCTCTTCTCATTATCAAATCGCACCCCCGCGAGAATCGGGAAGTTCGATAGTTTCACGGCAAGCTAAATAAATTTAACAATTACTATACGAAAACTCGAAACATTAATTGAGAAAAAAATTAAACTGAAAATAATTTCCAGTTAAAGTTTTAAAAGGTGTCTCGACACCTTTGGTAGAAATAGCGTTAACCCTAGAACTACCAAACCCAGGGAAAATGCCTGATTCCTGTGAAAAAAAAAAGCCCGTCCGGTAGTTCCAGTGTTTAATTTTCCGTATAAATTAATCCAACCAGTCGAACAGTTCGTCAACACCACGTGGTCGAATTACCACGTGGAAGCATAAATTCCCCTGTACAAATGATTCTAACCCGGTCTCCGCGTAGGATGCGTCCCGGCGCGCGTCCTCCGCGAGACTGTCGTCCGGGCAGGCGGGTCCCCTCCTCGGCGCCTTGGCGCCTCCACCTCGAGCCGGTCGCGTCGACGCGGTCGGGCATGGAGCCGGTCGACGGCGTGGAAATCTCAATTTCGCGGGGAACGGTCCTGGCCGGTATTGATTGTCGGTTCGAGGGTGCGCGCAGCCTCTGGCCGGCGCTCCCGTACACGCGTTCCTTGCGGCGGATACGTTCACACCGACTACCACTCCCAAGGGAGCCTCGGCGCCGCGCTCCTCGAGAGTCCAGTCTTCCCTGGTCGCTCGACGGGCCAGCAGCACCGGGCCGGCCGCATCTCGCGGGACCCTCTCTCTCGCTCCCACGGCCCCCTCGTTCTCTCCGTCTCTCTTTCTCTCTCTCTCGCCCCAGACCGGTGGAGCCGCGACTCCTCGACCGCTCGCCGGCCGGTGGAATCGGATCCAATCGACCCTGGACCAACCTCCGGCCCGTTCCTACATGCACGCACTTGTTAACGATATCGACGCGCACCCCACCGAGGAATATTTAGGAGCATGTTGACGATTCATAGTATATTTTCCCGCTACTGAAGGAAGAACTAAAGGAGGGACGCTCCCGGGCCCGCGGGTGGAACCATGGTGTAAAAACGGGTCCGAGTAGTACCTTGTATAGTTGGACGCGGAGGGATATATAGATATATATATATAGGTATATAGACGTGTACAGAGGAGGGTCGGAGGAGGTCGTGCCTCCTCGAGCATTCGGGTTTAAACGTGCACCAGGATTCCGGCGAACATGTACGAGGGGGGCATGGCGGCCGACCGACAGGTACGTCTTCCATCCCCTTAAGGTGAACCTAGCGACTTTTCCCCAAGAGGAGTCTCCGCGAACCGCCTTTGTCCGGAGTACCACTGGTGGTGGGATGTCACGAGGTTACCTTGTTTCCTCGAAATAGAGAGGCGCACATTACATTAAGTATGAGTCAGTTACTGGAAGATAAATGTCGAATTCGAAGCGGCGATATAGCGTCTTCTGATTAACCTGGTAATGATAACGAGTGGAGGGATCTTCTGTGATAACTGTACCGCTCGGAGGAATCTGCAAAACTTCCCCACGTAATAAGGAGTGGGCTGGACGTGATTGAATTAACTGCGCAAATTTCGGAGATATTGTTGCGTAGGGGTGGAGAGATAAACGCCTTTAAGGCGATTGCGCGTAACGATATATCCGTGAAAAATCTATCCACGGATTTAACGGGCCTGCGAATCCTGACTCGAATTACAAATCCCCAGGATTCGTCGTTACCCGTGTGGTTACCTTTAAAGCGACTGCACGGAACGACAAATCATTGCGATAAATCTGCGCAAACCGATCCACCGAACTGTCGAGGACGCCGTATAAAGACTCGGTACGAGTTTTGTTTAACTTGCTGGAATTACAAATCCCCAGGATTCGTCGTTACCCATGTAGTAACCTTTAAAGCGACTGCACGGAACGACAAATCACTGCGATAAATCTGCGCAAACCGATCCACCGACCTGTCGAGGACGCCGTATAAGGACTCGGTACGACTGCGTAAACTCGACTTAACGGCATTACTTCGATTTAACTGCACAGATTACAGATTGCCACGATTTGTCGTTACGTGTGTGGCCACCTTCTGACATAGCCCTGCGGGTTTTCGATCTCTCCCTCGAGGGCATTTTAACATGTACAAAGTGAAACGCTCGACGGAACCGCTCGACCCTCCTGTACGTCCTCGTACACCGCTCCCCGGGTTAAACCGCGTCTTTTACCGGAAATCTTTAAACGCTTTTTAACACCGGAGTACGACTACATCCCAGGAATATCTTAACAACCCTCGAGTACCCCTGTTATTGTCCTATGTAAAAAACAATGGTCCCAGCACAACGCGCTTGATTTGGGTCGTCGGAAGGGTGAGGGGGTGGACGATCAACAGATTCTAATCTTTATGAACCCACTCGCTGAAGGTCCCTCAAGGTCGACACATTGTGCCAACAATTCGACGCCGCTAATCCTGGGGTGTGGCTTTAGGTTAGGTCCTCCCTAAAAATGCCCTCCTCGGTTAGGACGATCTTTCATCCCGATTTACTGCGAGATTTCCCCTCAAAGAAGGTCTTTTACCCAATTTACTCGCCTTCGGTTTTCCTTTCATCGGGTCGCTATCTATAGGTTAGGTGGGATTTGACTCTCGATGTTTCCAGGTCGCAGGCCAGATCTCACGTATGGGATTTTCTCTTGTCTCCCCCCCACCCCGCAAATATAGCGCCACGTGACCTGCATTATCAGTAGCCTATATAACCTATTTTCGCTAAAGGTACTTGGCTGGAAACTCAGCCGGGATTTTTTAATAGACTCGCGATTGGTAAAGTGACGATGTAAACGTTTATTACTCGATGCCTCTTCTCATCGGATCGTTTTCCACAGGCTAGGTGGCATTTAACTCTCGCTATTCCCAAGTGACAGGTCAGATCTCACGTGGGGGATTTTCTCTTGTTTTCCCCCCACCCCGCGAACATGGCGTCACGTGACCTGCGTGTTGTAGGTTAGATATTGCACGAGCCAATTGGACCGGAGCGTAGGTGAAAGTGCCACCGGAAATACCCTCGACTTCTATTTCAGGTTCATTACCGCATCCGGGGTGGCGGGAAGGTTTTTCACGCGTAAAAATTAATCCTCCACCACGGGGGGTCTGAAAAATCGTTTGAGGCTCTGCTGGGGGGGGGAGACGAGGTCCGGGGAAACTACCCTCTACGTATATATGCACGAGCACGACCCTTGAGACTGTGGGAATCCTCGAGGAATTTCTCGACGGCTCTTTGAGGCGGCATACATCTTCCAGGAATTTGTTAGCTGCGGTTTATGGGCCACGTAAATTCTCGGGGAATGCTTCGACGGCGGATTAAGGCCGCGCTTAGACGCTTCGGGAATTTCTCGAAGAGCTGTTCGAGGCGAGGTTAAATTTTTAAGGGACTTATTGGCAGGTACTCAGGTCCCGTGGGATTTTTTTAACCGCCGATTAAGGCGACGTCCTTTCTCCAGGAATTATTTGGCGGACGTTTGAGACGTCGTGAGGTGTCCAGGAATTTTCTGGCAGCCCTCGAGACAGGGGTTTTTACGGGATTTCTTTTCCACGGGTTGTTCAGGTCGTATGGGCTCTCAATGAAGTCTTTTTACGGGTCTTTAAGGGAATGGAAACTTCGGAATTTCTTGATTTTAAGTAACGAGAGGGTTTTGACAATGCTCGTATCTCGTTCATCCCCAGATCTCGACGTTGGTGTCACACAGAGACCGGCCGATATGCTCGGACCGAAGTCTTCGTGCCGTCGCCAGGGTAGGCCAGGCCGTAAACCTTGCCGTAGAAAGATTCGTGACCGTCGGCGAGACCATCGCCGACGACAACCCGGAGATCAAGCCGGACATGTACGAAGCCTGCAAGGAAGCCAGGGTGGCGGGTAAGTAACGATTGCCCGGACGAGAGTCCTAATCGGGACGAGAGATCCGAGGTAAGGATGGAGAGAGGATGGACTCCTAAAAATGAAAAAAAAAAAATCCGTCCATCCCCTTGTTTCCTCCCTTGAATACATGTGCACCTAGAGAAGGTGCTTTCGAGGTCACCGAATCGAGTCTCTCGACATTCAAAATGGCCGCGCCGGCGTGGCGGGTCGTTTGAAAATTGCATTCAGGAAAATACCTACAAACAAATTTGAAAAGAATTGAAATTTCAGGAGTTTCAGGACCTTCCTTATAGTCTCCCTGTTCACGTTGTAACGTTTCAAACTATTCGGTGAACCGACTTGGGAGAAAAGTTTGATAAACGAAGCCTCTTCGAGGGCACTTTCGCATCACCTTAACCGGAGCCCTCCTCGGCAGGAAATGACAAACTTGAAACTGCATTTCGGACGGGGAATGATATCCAGGGTGATATCGAATCTAGGACAATCGTATGTTCGGGTTAAATCAAACGAGATTAACTTTGTGTGATTTCGTTGAGCAACCTTGATGACGAAACCTTAGGAGCCGTCGGTACGGTGAATTGATGTTGCGTTATTTAACAGTCAATGAGTCTTTCCGCCGTATGGGCGAGATGCAAATGACTTCCGCGTCCGCCGTGACGCTCGTATGCAAATCATTTCTTCCCTTAACAATGGACGCGGATAATAAAATGGCCCTCTTCCAGGCTCGGCGATAGAGAAGCTGTGCGAGTGCGCCGTGGAAGATAGCCTGGCGGACAGGGGCTCGGTCGTGCGAGCTGCGCGGTGCCTTCTCGGTTCGGTGACCAGGGTCCTCCTCTTGGCGGACATCGTCGTCGTCAAGCAACTCCTCCTCGCTAAGGACAAGGTCGCCAGGAGCCTCGGACGCCTCGAGAGCGTCTCCAACTTCACGGAGTTCGTCAAAGCCTTTAGTCAATTCGGCGCCGAGATGGTGGAATTGGCGCACCTGACCGGCGACCGACAGGTGAGATCGATTGCCTAGTTAGGACGATACGAAAGGGTGTATATACATATATATATATATTAAACGTGAAAATGTAAAACTTTTCTCCGGACTATGTGCACCGAATTATCTGAAAGTTAAACACGCGATTATGGAGGCCCTTAACCATTTGGACACGGAGCCATTTCGACATATGGGCGAAATTCGTCTGACCGTGCAGGCGATATTGGACCAAATGTCGCGCGCCTTTAGGCGCTCTTAGTAGCCAAAAGGTTAAGAAAGAACGCGACGTTCGTGAAATCTCATTTTTCGAGAAGAAAATAATGTCTTCTTGGTTCTTGTCCGAGGTAAATAGACATTTTTTTCCTGAAAAATGAAATTTCCATCAGTGTCGCGTTCTTCCTTAGAGCCTCTATAATCTCGTGGCGAGGTTCCAAATGATTCGGCGCACCCAATTTGGAGAAAAGTGTGAGGAAAGAGGCCCCTGAGATGCCACTTTGGTATCGCCTTAAGGATACGAGGGCCGGGGGACTCTGAATGCAGCGGAGGAAAAATGGAGGAGAGAGAATAAATGAGAGCCGTTCCATCGCTCTGGTTTTTCCGTGAAAGGAACGAGGGAGAGAATTTGCCCCTTCTGAAGAATATCCCGTGGCGGCTTTTATCATAATTCATCATAATTGGACTAATTAAATCTGTTGCAGAATGATCTCAAAGACGAGAGAAGGAGAGCTCAAATGGCCGCGGCGCGACAGGTCCTCGAGAGGAGCACGATGATGCTGCTCACTTCCAGTAAAACGTGCTTAAGGCATCCCGAGTGTCCTTCGGCGAAAGAGAATCGGGACACGGTGTTTTGTCAAATGAGGAGAGCCATGGACCTCATCCACTACGTCGTCAAGGATGGCGTCCTCGACTGTAGCGAAACGCAGCCTTACTCGAATTCGCAGGTAAGCCTTAAGGCGATACGAAACTACCGTCGGAGGTCTCTACGAGGCTTTTCGGAAAACCAGATTTTGCTAACGGTCCCGTCCTTCCTCGTATAATAATTCCCTAACGACTTTCATTCTTATCTGCAGAGCCCTCAGCAAGAAGACTGGGATAGTAGCACAGTGTGCGCAGCCTTAAAGCATTTCGAACGTCTAGTGGAGACCACGAGGATGACGCTACTCGGGCCAGGGTGCAAAGAGAGCTTGACGGCCGCTTTGGACACCGTCGTCGAGAGAACGCAAGACTTCACTGATAGCGCCTATACTAGTCACGAGCACAGGGAAAATATTCTCCTCCTGTGCGACCGGGCCAAGCTGGAGCTGAACACGCTCCTCAGGATCGGGAACAGCATGGTGGGTGATTACTTTTGCACGAGGCGAACTCGGCTGTTAAATTAGACCCGGGGACCTGGAATCGATTCCGGGCGCCGACCTTTAAAAATATACCTGGGTACTCGTCCGCCACCTCTGACCAGAGACGATCAGAATTGTAATATTTTCTTTTTTTTTTTCTCCACATAATCGCGATTTTTTTAATTACTTTAATTATTCAAATGGACACATTTAAATGATTAGAGGCTGATAAATGTCGGCGATTTCTTTTGAAGAATCACAAATCGTCGATTAAAAAGAAATACTCATTAATGACTCTTCGGACATCGCTTTCGTATCACCTTAAGGTGCTTTCGGATTCGGTGGAATTTCAAACAATTCCCTGCACCCAGGTCGGGGAAAACTTTTATATACGGAATTTCAGGTAAATCACCTGTCTTCGGAGGAGGTCCAAACTCGAAAGGATCCGGTTTGGTGAAATTTTTCATAAACGTTTGATCCCTCAGCCGGCACTTTGATATCACCTTAAGGGGATGTTCGACATGCACAAGGGTTTCCCTTGTGGATGCTCGAGCTTAAGCGTCCGCACCCATGGAAGCGGGGACGTGAGTGAATACTTTGACTCAGGAGAACTTCGAGGGTGGAGGAGGCTCGCCCAATTCCGAAATGGAGCAAGCCGTGCTGGGAGTCTTGCGAGCCACCAATGACCTACGACAACAACTGAGCACTACGACATTGGAGCAAGCCGGAGATCTGGGCCAAGTGACTAAGGCCGGCGAGGAACTCGTATCGACCATTAGGAACCTTGCCTTAGCCAATGACATTGGTAGACTACAGGAGAGCAGCGACCGCTTCCACGAGTACATAGAGCACATCCTCGAAGTGAGTCCACTTGCCACTAGAACCGCCAATAATTGGGCAATGCATAAGACCGAGCCTCAATTTAGCCACCGTTGCCTCTCAAAGTTCAGGGTATAAAAATTTAACACAAGAAAGTGCATCGATACCTCCTATCGGAGGGTCTGAAATAATGAACAGACTGCGAAGAGTGAATTTATAATTTAAATGCCATGTCAGTAGAACGTATCTCGCGACGAGAGGCTCTTTTGAAGGGACCTCGACCTACCTATCGAAATTGAATCTGTGTCGACTTTGCTTTTAATTGATTATTCCTACGGTAAATAGGTGTGTAAGCTCTTGAGGCACGTTGCATTATCGGAATCGTTACAAGTCTCGGCCAAATTCACAGAGATCAACCTACGAATATATGGCCCGCAAGTTGTTACCGCAGCTCATACATTAGCGAGGCATCCAACGAGCAAAATTGCCAAGGAGAATCTTGAAGGTAAACCGACTGTCCCTTCGACTGCTTTAAGAAATCTTAACACATTATATATTAACATTTAAGCACCGCTGTAAAATGCACATCGATGTAAACAATTTAATTTCCTTTTTTTCTACAGTTTTTGCTGATATGTGGCAATGGCTTATGTCGGATGTAACGGCAGTGGCAAAGGATGTACTCGAGTTAACGCAAAATAGGCCAGAAAAGCAAGTGTACATGTCATTGCCACGCCCTGGGGTGAGTATGCCTCGACACTCGGAGCGGACAGAGCCAACCGATACTTCTTTTATAAAGACACTTGTGCTAATCTAATTTATTTAACGTGGGACTTTATCGAGTCCTCCAAGGGTGTTGTCAAGCAAAGAGACTCGAAGGTTCCACCACCACTGTTTCCTTCGTAAAGGAAAAATCCTTATCGCCACTCGTTGTGTGTGACAGAAACATGGAACGACCAGTAAACCACTGAAGCCTGTTCGGTTGGACAGCGAAGAGCAAGCGAAAATTGCAAAGGCTGGCCTGGAAATGAAGTTGATTACCTCGGAAATGGACGCCGAGACCGAAAAGTGGCAGGAAAGTGGAGCGACCCTCGAGGAGAACAACGACATTGTCAAGAGGGCGAAAAACATGTCATCGATGGCCTTTTCTATGTACCAATTCACTCGGGGCGAGGGTGCGTTAAAGACTACTCAGGACCTTTTCACTCAAGCTGAATATTTCGCCGAAGAAGCCAACCGATTGTACAAAGTCGTCAGACAATTTAGTTACCAGGTACGAAGAGATTAATTTGTCGACGTGACTATGCAAGCAATTATCGTTTACTCGTTTACTGATTGGATTAAAAAATTATGGGAAAAAGGAAGTGGTAATAATGGCAGAAAATGAGACGGTCTATTGACAGTCTCCAATTGTGAGGTTATCTTTCTCGTACCTAACATATTATGGACCGCAGGTGCCAGGAGGTCCACATAAAAAGGAGCTTCTAGAGAATCTGGACCGTGTGCCGACGTATGTGCAGCAACTCCAATTTACCGTAAAAAATCCCACCGTTGGAAAAGCAGCCACCTTCACGAAAGTAGATAATGTGATTCAGGAGACGAAGAATCTCATGAACGTTATTTCAAAAGTGGTCACAACCTGCTTCGTTTGCGCTACAAAGGTGAGTAAATTAAGTATCCAGCAGTCTTAGTATTTCACAACGGAGAATTACAAAGTGCTCCTATTTTCCTAATTTTCTAGACATTGTTGAAGGTGATGAAATAAGGCAATAGCATACGTAGTAAGCCTTAGACTTACGTGGACTCAAGCCCCACGAATTCACACGCGGTCGTTTGCGGTAGCGATACGTTTTCCCATCATCATGCACATGTACTTTCTTCCAACCACCATCTATTAATTTATTTATTTATTAACCTTTTTGTAAAACCACGAATAGTTACATAAAAGATGACTCGTTTGCATTGAGACTTGTCAATAGATCTATATTTTTATCCATGACGTTCAGTTTTCTACTTTCAGTCTGCGTTCTTCCCTTACCTAATTTTTCATCCATTCTAACTTCATTTCAGTCTGCACCGATTTGAGTTAAGCTCACCATAGTCGAATTAGGTTTCCATCGATCATTACATTTCTTTCTCCGAAACGCGTTGAGCCTACCATTGCAAATTGTGTTCCTCTGTAACGTCTCTGTCCTTTACACATTTACTCACTAGCACAATGCCAGCATGCCGCAGTGCTTGGAAACAAGCCCACCACAGGTCCCAGGACTGGACGAAGAAGAATGCCTATATCCCGTCAGTCCCAGGCAATTGCCTTCGACAAGTCCCTTCATCCAGCCCATTCCGCTTACGTCTCTGCAGCTCTACGGCATTCTCAAGTCCCTTTACCTAGACCCACCGGCTCCGAGTTCCCATTCCCGCTCCAACGTCCAACGAGTTTCCCCACCCCGTAATCGTCTGCCACTTTGTGCAACGACAAAGGCACCCGTCACTGGATTCCAATCGCTACACAGTTCACAAGACCTACAAAAACTGTTCTAATCATGGATACACCAGACCCAACTGCAGCAGTCATGGCACACCACACTATTAACACAATGCGCCCCATTACAGATTGATTTGGATTTCGTTAGTAAAGAATGGAGTAAATTTCAGTGGGGCTGAGGAACACCAGGTGAGGAAAAAGAAAAACCATTGACGTACTTGTCCGTTAAAAGAGACGATTCGGAACAACGACTCAGGCAGGCCATGCACCGAAAACGCATACAAGAAATAAGTAAATGTTTCGAGAATTACTTTATAAGACGATACAATCGGTGCGAATTATCTACTGTATGCGTCTTACGTGCCATGGCCTGGCTTACCTTAACATTCCGACCGGTATGACTTTTGAGGTTACCTTTAGCGAGACTCGGGTTTTGCATCCCCGGGAACGCCGTAGAACGAGAATACTCAACGGCTGCGGTATAACGGCAACCGGCAACTTCGCGAGAGAAACGAGCGGCGAACGCACGTGTTTGGGAGGTTAGGTTAGGTTATCTTCAGCCCGCGTTTCTTGTTCCTTTCAGTACAACCTGGACTTCCGAGGACTGTCGGCGCGGGGGAGCGGGGGTTCGCCGTACAGAGGCGGGGAAGGTGCAGGAGCTGACGGCGACGGCGGTGGTCCTGGCGGGGATGGCAGCAAGACTGGCTCTGCTCCCGGCAGCGATCCGTCCGTCTGACATTTCGGGATGGCCCGTAGGGCCAAGGGAGACGCTCGTCGCACTCGGGTCTCCTTCTTACTCTTTTAGGGTCCTCATCTTCCGTTCTTCCGTCTCCCGATGCGCGACTCCAAGGAAATTAGGTGTTGCCACCTCCAGAGGGATTCCTTTCGGTTCTCGCACGATATTTCGCAGCCATTTCGAGGTATTACGGAGCTTGACGAGTATGTAAGTGTTCGGAAAATATAACCTCTTTCTATTGATCTCATTACACATTCATCCTCTCTTCTTGTTTTGTCATTCTCACCACGTGTAGGTCTCTGTCTAGCACTCTAGTTGTTCGCCACTCAGGAAAAACGTTTTCACCGGTGTCAAATGGGAACTTTAACGGGGACCCTTACAAACGTGCCATCGGTGTCGGATCTTGTCCGGCCTTGTAAAACCCATAGATTGAACGAGGACAATAATGCATTTCTCATTGCTCTTTTTTTACTGGCAGCATTCATTGACGTAGGCCAAAGGCATTCGAGATCATTCGTATAATTCTGACGTTTAGATTTATAGAAGATTTACTGTGTGCGCTTCGAAGATGTATCCAATTCGGAGAGAGATAACGGGGAGTACGTTTTTTATGTTGGCAACACAACTCATCTCGGCTGAACTAAAAATCGACCTAATTATATTCCACGGAACCTTCCGAGGGGACGACACCTTGTAAAGACTGGCGATCGAACTCAAATTTAAACTCGGCTTTACAGATTCTTCTATATCGGTACTTTTACGAGGTTGCTTTAAGAAAACGCGGAAAAAAAGCTTTTCGCTCTCCTTGCTTCTTCGACTTCCAAACCCAAGAGTCAACCTTTCGTTTATTAGTAAATGGCGGATGCTTAGCTTTGGAAGTAAGAAAATCAAGGGACGTTAAAATCATGCTTCCATCTTCCTTTTAAATAAACTTATACTAAACTAAGGTGAAAAAAACTTCCGAGAAAGATATCTAATTATTTAGGAGGAACGACGTTACGTTTTATGACATTATATATTGTATTACATTATGTTATTGTGTTGTATCGTATATGGACATCCGTATAGTTCAAAACTGTCCTTATATGGAAGAACAGTATTTAAAATAACACATTCTAATACGCTTTCCTTCTGAGATGTTAAAAAATAGTTGGCCTTATGCACGTAAGTTACGGAATAAGATGCTAAATACGACGTACGGACAGTAGTCGGGGAATTGTGTAGACACTCGAATATCTGCTCAAGCGTGGAGTTTATATCGGAACCGTTTCAGAAATCGCGAATTAACCATCCGAAGTGAAACAAGTGTTTATCGCGAGCCCGTCAGCTTAATAATGACGGTAAATAATGAATTAACCTAGAAATGAGTTTTGTTTGTACTTCCAGACCAAACAATCTGCGCGATTAAGAGTTTTCCTAATCGTAGCCGCGTGGTACGAATGCCTCATTTAAAACAATCACTATTACATACGCGACACGATTGTGTCTTATACTATTTAGAAGAAACGTATTATTAACAAATGAAACAAGAAGCTGACAACGGTACGACGGGTGACAAGTGGTACGATTCAATTAATCTGCTGCTGCCGTCAGCTGTGTGCATGAACCTACAAAAGATACGTAACGATATGATGCAAATTCAAGCTATACATTGTAATTGGTCTTAATATAACTTTTTTCCCTAGGAATTTACGTGACTCGGGTATGTGCCTATCATTGTTGGACAGACGGAGTGTGATTTAAACTGTTCCACTAGAATTAGACCTTCGTCAGATCGTTCGTTTCCGTGTGTCCATTAATGACAGGTACTTTTGGACACGGCAAAGCCGCTCAAAAACCAAAGGCAATCCTTAAGAGTGCCCTGATCGGAGCAATAATACTCCTACATTGCTATACGTTCCGAATTTGCGAATAGCCGTATCGGGCTGTCTACTTTCTGTGTCACATCTCTTGTTTGTGACACAAACTTAGAAGTAAGCGACAGAGCATTTAACCTGGAGAAACTTTTTATTTAGGGGGTTTAATGTCGCATCAACGCTGATGTCATTAGCAAAACTTGTTATCACAAAATACATTAATATTAAGCTTGATTATGTAGGTGTTGTTTTATCGTTTACTTGGTTATACGATAAATGGAATTGTAACAAGTGCACCGCACAAGCACCTCACATGTGGGAATGGAGTAAATGTTAATCTGCGATAGAAGTCGCCAAATGGCGCGACTAGTGAACGTTTTATACCCGTGAACAAAGGTACATAAGCTGTTGACAGAAGCGAGTCGGACAGGCATGTGTAGACAAAAGTATTATTTAAAAGACAGTAGTTCGGTATATTCATGTCATATTTATAATAAAAACTTTTCTCTGTTAAGATGGTTATATATGACACGAAATTACTGCCATCCCTTTTCTAACACCCCTCCTCTAATTTTCTTATCATTCCTGTTATCTGTAATTCCAACTTCTGCTCCATCTTCTTATTCCTAAGTTTGTCACTTGTTCGGGTAACTTCAAAACTCATAGAATTAAGTGAATTATGTTACATGTATATCTATACAGATGGTAATTGACTAATCGTCGATCGCAACTGACAAAATGTCTGATCGACTACTCTTGGCCTTATAATTGAAGACTATTGGCATTGGTGTGTCCCTGTTCTTTTAATACGAACTGCAATATTTTCCAAATATCAAACGCAGCTCTAACTCACCATTAGTGTAGAAAACAGGCGTGAAAGCTCGAAATCTTCAATTATAATGGAACTTTACAGTTCATTCTATTATATCTGAAACCTATGTTATGTAGGATCTTGATCCGTGGATTCGTTTGTGGGAATTTTTTTTTTAAGCCACCAATGTGCGTACAAACCAGACCTGAATATTAATTCTACTCGTTTTTTTTCTTGTCTTAGATGCACCACTCGACTACTAATTTTCCTTGGGGTGTTGTAACATTGATTTGTGTACGGTACAGGCTCACTAAACCTTTTACGATTCATAGTTATTGATCGCTTTGTAGTCAAACACGGTGCTTGCTCTGTAGAAATAGTATCAACATTACTCTGTTGAGATGATTGTTGAGTTTCACTACGATCTGTATTCTGAGAAGCCGGTAACGAATCAAATGGTGAAGCACAAATGCATTGACGCTCAAATTCGTGTTCTTCGGTTTCACTTTCTCTGTGCGATGCATCGTATGTTGGAGATGTAGACTCCACACTGTCTCGATCAGACTTGTGAAAATTCAGTTCCGAAGAGTTCCAGTTACAGCTTCCGGCCATCCCTGAATCAGACGATCGGGGACTCGTAACCACAAGTCTTGAGGAATTATCAATCTCAAATGTACAGACATTCCTCTCTTTGGTTTCCTCTTCAGTAAAATCTTCGTAATCGTCTTCATCCTTTCCATTATCTTCGCTAGTTGGTGTTAACATCAACCATAACCTGCTCACTGTGTCTTTTTTGACTAGTTCGACGCACTTCCAATTTTTCGCGTGTTTGTTTAGATTCCCACCATTACGCTCTGTGTTATAATGTTCCCAGTAAGTGTCACATAACGAAGGATGAGCCGGCATAGTAACATTTACTTTTCCAACTGAAGAAGAACCTGGTAGACTTTTGGTATCATGGAATCCGTTTTGGGCAGAACTCGACTCGGAGACGAGTGTAGGAACGGTAGAGTCACAACACTTTACCGTTTCTGTCGCGTAATTCACATCGAGGTTTAAAGTCGATTTGTACACAGAACGCGTTTTATTCACTGATTTGTCGACAACAGAAGCATCTGATTCTGATTGACTACTGTCCGGTTGAATCGGACATATCGAGTACTCCACTTTGCACTTTCTCATTTTAACACCGGTTAAGTCCAGCTTCACGATGTACTCAAAGTACAACAGTTTCTTCAATAACTCTGGATAAATCACTTTCTTCCTGACGAGACGTGCGAAAAATCGCGAGAGCCGAGAAAACGGAGGATAACAGGAACTCCCACAAAATGCTGACGTTGACTTGACTGGCTCGCTGTTGTGCTCCGAGGTTAAACTCTCAAACCACTGGTGTTTCTCTTCGCTAGAGGAGCACAACACGAGAATGCTGTCCATCGTTGGCCCTAGGAAGAGATCCACACGTTACAAGATGTCAGCAAGATCTGGTGAAAAGTCAGTATTTCAATTATTTCTTTCTAAAGCCATTAACAAGACATCATGCTCAAATTCACTATGCCGTTTCTTATACCTGATATTGTAAATGCATTCCTCGTCTCTTCTGTGTTTGCCATTGGAGTGATCGTAATTGTGCCTAACGGCAACTTGCACTAACAAGAAGTCATTTTAATAAGTAGCTTCTCTAGATTATATCGTAAATACTTAAAAGATTCGATCTTCGAACGTAGGGTTTGCCGATACAAATAGTTTGGAATGTTTTTATAACAATGGATTAAAGTATTACAAACTATTAATTGAAAATCATTTATTATCGCACGGTTTTTAATATATTTATAATGAGTGTATTGTATGTAAGGTACGCACCTCGTAAACAAAAGAACTCATAGTCTGATTAGTACTCAATATGTGAAGGGCCGTGGGAGATAAAACGAGGTATCTGGTTCGTAGTTCCTCTCCCATAACGAGAGTCACTAGGCCGACGTGAAGTATCTCATCTATGGATCCTAATTCTTCGCCATCCCAGTCTTCGATTCCTCCCATCAATACTTGAAGAGCCAGTTCCTTCCTTCTCCTTATACTAGCGCATGTCTCCTGATAAAATTCGTCTGGATTAATTTACTTCCAATCAATGCAATCACAAGTGCGTAATTTCATATTTAATTTATACTCACAGCTATTTCTCTGTAGAGGATAATGCATCGTTGCACATTTCCCTTATCTGGGTGGCACCTCTCCGTATACCTTTCCAATTCTTGAAACATGGCTGAGTACTTTTCCAGTCTACGAAGGGGTTTACTTAAACCAGTTGTAAGGACTAGAATACCCGGTGACACTGCTCCTTTCTCTTCCATGTATGCATTCAATTCTTTTCTGTTAAAATATAGAAAGTTCATTAATAGGCATTTATAATATACAAATACCATTACAGGTACGTAACATGTATTAAAAAATAGAAAGAAAATCAACCTGGGATTTACCTATATTTGTCTAAAATGCACACTGCTAGTGGATGATGATCACAATAAGATTGATGAATCTCATTTATTCTAGATGCTAGCATTAAAAAGCGGTCTCCCACTTTGCTCATCGATCCCTGAAGTAAGGCACGTTCCAACAACTTTAGAAGATATTCGTGAATCTCCAACACTTCTAACAAATTACCAATTAATTGGCTAAATTCTTCCTCGGTTAGGCTGAAATAAACAATGACATTCATTCTTAACCAAATGTCAATCAGAGTTTGTTGTTCTATTTTGTTTTAACTCGATATTAATTATTCTTACATGTTAGTCGAAGCAAGTGGCTGTAGAAAATTGTCAACCAATCCTTGCAACTCTGCAACGTTCGCTTTCTCAGTGTCGACTATATCTTTAAGTATAATGCCACGATTAATACTGTTCCAATGTACGTCATGAGCTAACATCTTCGGTGGCTGTGGAATCGTTCTCATGAATAGATCTATAAATATTGATAGGAAAAATGAATAAATATACTTTATGAATAAATATTTATTTCAAACATAATTTTGTTTCATAGTACAGCATACCTGAGGCATGTAGTCTGCTACATGATTCGATGAAAACCAGATAGCTTTTTATCACTGAATATTATCACATTGACATTTTATCACTTTCCATGACAACTGTAACAGCAATAATATTAAGGCCATAAGTATGTGCAACACATGGAACATTAATAATAAATATTTACCGATGACTAAAAAAATTATCGGAACGGTGTAAGGTATGTAAGCATTAAATTTTTAATTCCATTTCACATGAAAAAAATGAGTAAGAATTGATGCTTATACTTCAATTGCAAGATAACGACGAACCGAACACTTGACATAACCTTTCAACTAATATAATCAACATTTATTAATACGACAGTGGGTATATCCCAGAACAACTCGAGATCCTAGTACTTTGTATCGTCATTGGAATTTGCACCTTGAAGTTGAGCTATAAATGAACTTGTATATATATAAATAAAAACTAGCTTAAGTCAGTATGCACCTATTTCGAACGTGACCCTCGCAGTTAGAGAGAACCAGGGATTTAGTGCACTTCCTACCTTTTGACAATTATGATCCATAGGAATCTTCAACGATCTTCGCAGGATCTGAAAAAAAAATATTGAATTTTAAGCAGAGTTTCAAAGTATACGGTTCAATGAAATATTGCTGTCACATTCAAACGGGCATCTTAGGAATTTTTTAACGTATGTATAATGTGATCCTCACCATATTGATATTTTATATACTACAAATTTTAGTATTTAATCAGTGCTTCAAATGACAAGAGAAAACATGAACGGAAACATAAAAACATGGCGATGAATCACAGAACTTATAGTGATAGAAAAGGAATGCAGGTCGCCGAAGTGTAAGCATCATCTCAGAGACGAAAATACGTTTGCATCTCACTTGATGACTTCTTGCATCTGCGCGCATGCGTTTGTACAACCAATGAAAAATTGTTAACACAATCATGAATACGTGCCATAATCTTATATAACTTGCTCGTCATTGTACCTTTGACGAGTAAGATCTAGCCTGTGAACTTTTCTGTGGTCAGGCAGAAAATGTTGTGGAAAACATTGTTTCATCTTAAACGGCCTATTAGGCATTGGATATTTAATATTAGGGCATGAAAGAGGGTAAAAAAAAACTTCTCAATAAATAAAACAACATGGAATTTTATTTTCTAACCCACAAACTTAATAATGTTTTTATTAATAAGTTTAAAATGGAAGTAATTAAGAGACTCACGCGTCAAGAACTTCTTTTTTGTGTTCATAGGATGTATCGCGAATTTCCCTCTTGCAGTACTTCAAACCGTGACTTCCCTCGTTTGTATACGACTTGTACATCGGTTTTGTTAATAAGGATGGATTGAATTTTGGTATAAAATAAATCCAAGCATTTGTGAGGCAGCCATCCTGAGATAAAATTAACATGTTATAGATGGAGTTGAAAAAATGATATTTTATTTGATAGCGAAAAAACGAACCTCCTCAAAATTCAAATCAGATTTTAATTTCGGTTGCGGCACCATTAGAACTTCGTCTTCAAAGCGTTCGTAGAAAGTGGGATGTTCTTCCAAATCATCCAATCGGCTTAACATTTCTGAATCCACGTCATACAATTCGCCAATCACATTCTAAATTATAAACAGAATATAATACATCGGTGTCAGCAATTCGATGACTTTGAAAACACTGACAAACCTTGTGACATTGCAAATAATAAATAAGGAGTATTCTGTTAACGAAAAGCTAATGAAATATAATCAATTTATTAAGAACACGAGGAAGGCTTTAAATGCAGGGTTAGTTTAAGTACTAATGAAAAATTTAGTCCACGATTCTTAGGGGTAACGCCCGGTATTAATGGTTCACAGCTAAACGGACAAAATCATTGCCCAATATAATCAAACCGTGTCAACGTTGGTACATCATTTGATTTATTACATCAGAATCTTCCCAATGTTCGTTACAGAATATCCTTCTTGCCTGAATTCCTAAGTTACGGACAATAAATGAGGTTCTTTAGCCATTGTTAAGATGATTACGATTCAAGATACGTCATAATAAAATTAACAAATGATCACATACTTCACCAATGCCAGTCTTCTTCAAGAGAAAGGGAATATTGTACTTCGTCGCTATTACCAGAGGATACTTATTCGCTGTTCTACCCACACCCAAAAATGTGCATTGGCCTCCAGACGATAATAACCCGTGATTAGGTTCACCGCGTTTTAGCGTTCCGTAAAAAAAAACTCGATGAAGAAGGCGCGCAGTCAATTTCTCGGACATGTCTAACTACCACGAAAATCAAACAAGGCGTTGTATGAGTTTTACAGTTTTTGACAACACTTTGTAAATCACAGTACGCAATATAAATTGCACGGAAAGTATTTCCCCTTCTCTCCTCGCGTTCAGCCACTGCGCATACGTTTTGCGCAAACATGGATTCGGATTTGCCACTGTTAGCCACTTACGGAGATCTCGGCGAGCACGGTTGGCAGCGCTGATTCCGTCAAAAAGGAAGGAAGAAAGGACAGAAAATGGATCCAACGGGAAACGTTTATCCAAGGAGAATGCAGGACTACGAAGATGAGGAGGAGAGAAAGCACTTCCAGCGTATCGTCTCCGCGTTCAAGTACTACAAGTGAGTTAAAAGCGGCGTCACGAGGCCCGGGCAACGAAGGGTTGCGGCGGCCCAACCTAACCTCAAACCCGCGGCCCTTGGTTAAGTTACTCGCGAGTGTGCGAGGGCGACTATACATATCACTTACTTTTTGTCATCTTATAATGTATGACAGAGTTAATAGAGCCGTACACTCTTTTATTCACTGCCTCGACCTTAAATGACATCAATGTCTGCACGCACAGATTTCTTTCCAATTTAAGAAAACTGACTAATACTCGAGTCTTCTACGAAGCACAAAACTTTACTCGGAGCCACAGGCAATTTCTGTAGACTGTACAAGAAATGTGTAGAAGCGGTGAAGATTTTGGGGAATTTGGGATTTTTCAGACTCGCTAATCTCTTTTAGTTATGAAGTTTCTTTCATATTTCTAATGTTCTTATACTTTGTTTAAATTTAGGAATCTTTGTATTTGTTAATATTGTTGCGATGAAGGCTGTGGCGTTAACCTTTTTGTGGTTGGATATTTCAGAACACATTCCCTTCAGCGAGTGAAGAAGACAGAGACTTACTTACAGTCGCTTCCGCTGCATCACCAGAAGCTTCTATCAAATTATCGGGACCACTTGCAGGAAGTGAAACGTTGCATTGAAAACAATGACGAAATCATTAAACTCATCATAAAAGATGTGGCTAACATTTTTGAGAACGTTAGTCCTGGTGCCTCACAGACGGAGAGTGTGAGTGATATTTGTTAGATCATGGTAGAAAAAGATTTGGTTTAAATGAGATACTCTATGAAAAGTTTCGTTGTCTCTTATGAAATTATACAGGATTTTTCGTTCATCTCATTTGTCCCTTATCTTGACTTAAAGGAGTTTGCAAGTGACTGGTACTAGAGTTTTTAAAAATAAGATAATGTCATTGTTTGAGAATAGTGCTCAGAAGTATTCGATACTTTTATATGTAAATATCTAAGTCAGGGACTTCTGTGATAACAGAGGAAACAATCATTTATCAAATGCGCATTTAGGACCTTGTAACGATATAAATGTTTGTATGTATTAGTAAGCAACTGCTTTAAGCCGACCTTTAAAAAATAGGAAATGTATGATTAACTTGATAAAAAGTTAATTTCGAGTCACGTTAAATGAAAAGTAGTTCACATCGTGAGCTGGTTCTCCTTTTTGCAATTAAACAGTCCTTTTCTATTGTACGAAATATAGGTAGGTCTGATTGCAGACGCTCAGCCTTCGGCCGATCATGGCAGATCAAGAAAAAGTGCAGGCAACAATCAAGCAGCTAGTTCGAGATTGGAGCACGGAAGGAGCCGAAGAACGAAAAGCCTGCTACCAGCCAATTATCGACGAAATTCTACTGCAATTTCCCGTGGATATCTGGTACGTAAAATAATTATCATTCCTCTCAAGGTGATGTGAAAGCAATACTTTATCGACTGGACTTATCCAGACATCTTAAATATTATACATTGCCAACTATTAAATTTGATAAAAAACTGATAAAACAGTTCTTTCACATCAGCAACTACATTATATCTCTACATATATAGACAGACCTTTCATCTTCACTTATTGTGAATGTAACTTATTTCTACGATACATCTCAAGTGATGAGAAGGCCTCTCTAAGGGACGAGATGAGCGTCGTTGCGTGTTGAAGCAAAACATTAGCTCAGAAGAATATGAAATGATAGGTAAATTTCCAGTAATCCAGCGGAAGTGCAAGTTCTAGTGCCAGGAGCCGGACTGGGGAGGCTCGCTTACGAGATAGCGCGATGCGGATACACGTGCCAAGGAAACGAATTCTCCCTGTTCATGCTCTTTGCATCGCACTTTGTGTTGAACAAGTGAGTCCTAATCTCTAACCTCAGGTGACAGTGCCTTTATGTAACTCGGTGCTCAAGTACGTTGGAATAAATGGTGGAGTCAGCTTGGAATTCGTCGTTCCTTCGTTTGCAGATGCAGAGGGATAAACTCCTATCAAGTACATCCGTGGGTGCATCAGTACATGAACAACTTGGAGCCGGAGCACCAGACACAGGCGGTTTTATTCCCAGACATGGATCCCAGTAATCTTCCGGAGAACGCTCAGTTCTCCATGGCTGCTGGAGACTTTCTCGAGGTAATTTGCTGTCGTGTAAAGTTATGTCTAACCTCTCAATAAATAATCAACCTGAGTCATGATATTCCTATTTTCTAGGTCTACACGGAAAACAATCACTGGGACTGCGTGGCCACCTGCTTCTTCATTGATTGTGCCAATAACATTGTACAGTTCATCGAGACGATATACAATATCCTGAAACCAGGAGGTATATGGATAAACCTCGGTCCATTGCTTTATCACTTCAGTGATATGCCGATGGAGGACTCGATAGAGCCCAGCTATAGGGACGTTCTCAAAGTCATCCGAGGTTTTGGCTTCGGATTGGAGGTAACCACGTCTCTTCCTCTTCTCTGGCGTCGTGACAAAATGTCGAAATATACGTGATATATAACACATATGTGTATATAAAATATCATGATGATTTCTAGGTTATACCTTTACGCTCAATGTCTAAAATCACTTTACAGAAGGAGATAACGCACATGAAGACGCGCTACGCGCAGAATGTGAGCAGCATGCTGCAGTGCGAGTACAATAGCGTTTACTTCGTGTGTCGGAAACCGAAGAGGCATACCCTGATGGATGGGATCCGTCCCAGGAACGGGTCGGAGAGCAATGGGCTACCGGAGCAGGAGAACTAGCTGGGTTTCCTCGTGGGAGGCGGAGAAGTGCTCCACTCGGTCAGCCTCTGGGACACCGATGACCTAGTCCTCGCGCAGTCGCACCTTCCTGGACCTGTTGTGTCCACCTGGTGCGTCCGATCGGGCCTTCCTTGTAAATTCAAGATGGGGAACAGTGCTTTCAGTCCTGAGCCATTCTTGACTCAGGCGAGAGAAACAAGGGAGGACTGCCATGTTTCATCTCAATGACGAAGTGTCTTTCAGATACTTTAGAAGAGTCGTTTAAGAGATTTCTCGTACCTTACTCGCGTCAATTCCGATGAGCAGATCGGCCACTTTTTAGTCGACAGAGGTTAACGATGGACTTCTTTTAGTACCCTTGAAATTGTACATGTTCCTCGCGGATATGTTGCGACGTTTCGAGAAGAATTTTTGTAATGACGCTGTCATGGTGTAGGGGAGAAAAGAAGCTTTATCGAACCTTTTTTTTAAATGCTAAGTGTGGTCAGTGACAGCTAGTGGGTCGAACGAAATGGCATCGAAGTTGATTTTATTCACAAGAAGTCGCCTTTCGTTTCGATGTTGATGCTCCTGACAAAACTGGCTCCGTTCTCGCTCTGAGGGAAGCGCGAATTCGCTGTTTAGAGGTTAAGACAATCTTGCAGAGACTACGCGTTCAGCCAGGTTTATTGGTTATGTGAACGCACTCGAATTTTTGCCGCATTTGGAAGGCGAGGTTTTCGGGGCGTTAGTGAAATTTAAAGAATAGTTTTTTGCAAAGTTATAAACGTTGTTGGAGGTTGGACGAGTCTGTGCTGCCTTGTCGATTCAAATTTAAAGTTGGGAACGGTTCATAGGTTATTCGACCAATTCGGCCTGTCGGGGTTTGTCGAATTTTATTTTCACTTTTTGAGAGCGATCTTTAAGACGGAATTATTCGGTCCGAGTTGGTCGAGTAATTTTGGCGAACTCGTTAATGGGGTGTCTATTGAAAATATTTGCATCGTGATGGAAATTGTAACGAAAAATTACTTTTTTTTTTTCTCTCTCCGATGGGGCTTTACGCGTTTATATTTATGGCGATACATGCCGCGGATAATTTAGAATTGCGCTGAATATTTTTAACTTAAACTCTCTTGTGTTCTTTTAAGATATATTGATGGATTTGTGTTAATAGTTACTGAAACACTTGCAGTGGGATTATCGAATACAGCGGTAGACACTTTCCGAATGAAAAATGGTAATTTGACATAGAATTTTCTGTCCGTGTTACAAGAGAAACTTAAGGTTTAAGGTTCTTCATATTTTTTAGAAAGTTGTACCGATTTTTGGATGACTTTGTGCGTTACCTGAAAATTGCAAGCTATCATTTTCTTAGTTTCATTTGTTTGGCGGTGTAATGCCTTCTTGTAAAATGTATAAAATTAACCGCTTTAGTAATGATCGTATTTTTAAATGAAACATATATGTAATATATGTAAAGAATTGTTTACATTGCTTATAGTTTAATCGAGTCGATGATGCAGCAATAGTCTGCAATTATTCAGAAGGAACTGTGACTCTGCAATATTGTAGTACGAACAATCCTCCGGAGACTATGCAAAGAAATATGGAAGAAATGAATTTAACTTTGTCAGTTGTGTCGAATATCTCGTTTCAATCGAGAAGACGAGAAGAGTTGTACTCTTTCAAGTGACAAAATATCGTACTTTTCGGTCTCTTTAAGGAGACTATAGAAAAATACACTGTACAAAGTATTCCGGCAGTTTCTTACAATAAAAAAAAAGGCTTCGAGTCTGATGGGGCTTCGCCGTGTTAAAGAACTAACACCGAGTTCTTTGATTGCTGGTATACCTTTATTTGTAATGGAAATAAGTTAAAAAAAATATAACAAAATGATGTTATAAACTTTTATTGAGGTACTGCACAAATAGCAAAGCTATTTGATTAGGCTCGATTTGTTGCATCTTGCTGTACGTCAAAAATTGCCTTCTTAATTTTGTTAACTGAGGTGTGTTTCCTGATCTCTCGACAGTTGTCTCGCAGCCAGGAATCTTAATATCATTCTCTATACCCAACTGTTTAGCAGATAAAATAGCCTTTAAATAATGAAGGATTTGTCATTAATGTTTCATTTGGTAACACTAAATTATATGACGTTAGTAATTGATGTTTCCAATTACTTGAATTAATATTTAATACAAATATTTTCTATGTACATAAATGGAAAAGAGAAAACTCACGGTAACAACATCTTGCGTAACCTTGTCAAGCTCGTACAGATAGTTCCCTGATGACAGAGGTGGCTATAGAAGAAGAAGATAAAACGTAAAGAAATATATATTATGCATGTGAATCGAGTAAAACAAAATTAGTACTAACGCTCTGAGTGCTCATATTTGGTTTCGGTGCCTTTACTTTGTACAAAGCACAGTATATCTCCTCCAATTTTAACTCATCTTCTGGCGTTACCGCGAACAGTGGTGAATCCCAGCGATTCTTATTATCCGGTGGTTCATACCTACAAATAGAAATCGGTCTTCATCCATTTTAGAATCAAAACGCGATATTTCTATTTTTGTGCCATTAATAAAATTAAAAATAATATATTCTGAGGTACACATTATTAAGTTCGTACCTCATCACTAGAGCGTCAAAGATTTCTCTAGTATATCGCTCCGTTTCAGGTAATCGTTCATTAAATAACCACGCATGTTCAACCGGTAGATCGCAGTGAATAGTACATTGCGGCGTTTTGTACGATTTACTCATACAGTAAATTTCATATCGGTGGCCCTTAATATAATTAGTACCATCTATTATCAGGACATCGTGTGGGCTCAATAATCGCTGTGCATTTGACTTGATATCGGATCGTACGCTTTTCTCTTTCCTCGAATCTATTTCCGCGGAAGAGAAAACAGGGGAAAACGCGATTAAAGTAATAGTACTTAATGACAATACAAAGATACGTTATCTTTCGTCAGAGTGTTTTGTTACAACGGTGACTAACCAGCATAATACGTGTTCTTGTCATAACCAGCTTTGACAATGGCATCGCGTTCACTGATAACCTCAACTTTCGTCCCTTTCTTGTTTTCGAAAAATTCCTTTAGTTCCGCAGTTCTTGACGTTTTTCCGCTGGCCGGGATTCCTGTTATCACTATTAAAGGCATCTTCCGAGCTGATACGACGATTTAACTTTAGTATATTAAACATTCACGTGCCGCTGGGTCAACCCTGTGCGCCGCCATTTTGAAAAAGTTAGAGCTGCCAACAAAACGTCAGAGATTTCAATGCGCGCTCAAAAGTAAAATATTCAGAAAAATAAATCCTCGCGCTTACAGGGATGAATCGTGATAAGAAAATAAGCAGAAACGTGCAGAAAGACGTAGACAGCCTTAAAATGCATTAAATCATCTTGAAACGCCCGTGGAAAAAATCCAAGCCCCTTCTTCGATAGACCACTTTGAAGGGAAGAAATTCTTCCGTCGAAGTCGTTGCACTTCGGCAACAGGTTTCAGCGTTCCTTCCCTCTTTCTTTTCCTCTCTCTCCCTCTTCGTTCTGCCCTTTCTCCCGAGCCAGGTTCTCTACGAGCTCTGAAGGCTTCTAAATATCATTTCTCTCGGGGCCCGGTAGCGCGTCGCGTCCGCTGCGAACAGCTGGGGATAACTTCGAAAAGTTGGAAAACACCGTTAAGGGGAATTGCGAACATTCGTGAAGCAATAGTACATTGCAGTGAAGTGTTTGTTACTCTCGGGTGTATAAGACAAGGATGCTTCCTATTATTGCGGCTTTGGCCGTCCTTGGCGGCCAGGGCGCTCGCGGTGAGTCTTCCGAGATGAGGACGTCTCTCTTTCTCCCCTGTCTCTGTCCTGGTGTATGACCTTGCTCTGCTCCTCTAACGAAACGGAGTTTATGCCTCTTCTTCGATTCTCCTTTTGTACGCACTTTTTCCTCCTTGCTTCGTTTTGTTCCCATTTTCCCGGTCGCTCTGCTTCTTCGTGTCTTCAATCTGAGGAGAATAGCCCTGAAAGATTATCTTCTTTTAATACCTCGCATGTTTTATATTCATCATAGAATCAAGTAAATCTAATTTTAACTGCGACATGTCATGGTAATAATCGAATGGACATTTATAAATGGGGTAATTTTCTGCGGTGGATTTTGTCCGATCGTCGACGGGACTTTTCCACTTTCGTCGCGTGGGTGGAAGGAAATAAAATGGCGAATCACGCGTACCTTGCTTTTAAGATCTTTGCCCTTAGCCTTGGTTATTTTTCCTTTCTTCCTTGCGTTTTATTTAATCGCGATTTTGTCATTTCACCGGCTTCCTCTTTCTGCTTGCCTCTCTCTTTCCCCCCTTTCTTTCGCTTCTCCAGCAGTCTCGCATCGGCGACGATTCCGTTATACGTCCTCGGTCAGGTATGAATAAAAGAGTTCAGTCGTGAACTCTGGCTTTTTAAGAAAGGAGGCATACCATGTTCTGCTACTGCCTTAAGGCGATGCGAAACTTGGCGCAGGCGCTGCAGAAATCCACAATTTATTTCACATTAGGGCCACTTGGCATCTCTTCGAAAGATGCTCAGATTGAAATCTGCATTTTTAGAGAAGGGACGCCTATCTTCATCATCTTGACCTTAAGGCGATGCAACGTTTGCAAACTCGATGATATCTGCAATTTATCTCGTGGGAGGATTTGCTTCCTTTTTGAAAATGTGCACTTCATTAACAATCGTGATACTTAAAGTCGTGGTGCCTTGAACCGTAAGAAATTAATTAAGAGAGTGATATAAATGTCGAGCCGTACATTTTAATGATCGTGTCTTTCATTATTTATGAATAATTCGCGTTATTTGGAGGATTCGGTGTCATTGTGTAGAGGTATTGTTTCACTGGGACTTTTGTCGTCAGGTTTGCTGAATAGGCCGGCTCACGAGAAGGTGGTCTCTTGTTATGTGACTTCGTGGGCTGCCTATAGACCTGGAAAAGGTCAATTCGGATTCGATGAGCTGCGACCTGAACATTGCACACATTTAATTTATGCTTTCGCTGGTCTTAATGCCACGACTTCGACCATCGTCAGTCTCGACCCATGGGCCGACTTCGAGGAGAACTATGGTAACACTTATCGTTTGATAACAATTATAACTTGTAAAATTGTGACAAGAAAATATATGTCGATGCTAATCAACATGTTGACGATGTTAAAAATACAACTAAAAACCCTCGGATGTGAACATACCTTATGTTTCATTTTGTATTCTGATAATGGAGCTTCCTGAGATGTGTGGTCGCTTTTTTAAAATTGATGTTTAAGACGGGATTTTAATAGCGGGCTATTTGCAATTTTACTCGAAATCTCATTTTTGATATTTTTCACTCTATGAAATTTCATAATTGGTCTAACGATAAGTATGCTTCCAGGGAAAGGAACTTACCGGAAAATGACTGGACTTCGTCGGCAGTTTCCGGGGTTGAAAGTTACCCTCGCCATTGGTGGGTGGAACGAAGGAAGTGCAAATTATTCTGCTTTGGCCGCCTCGCCTGAAAGGAGAAATACATTTGTTAACAGCGTCGTGGAATTTTTAAAGTAAGATATATCATGATAATCAAGCCTTCGTTAGAAATATATTGACAAATTTATGAATTAAATCTTGATCTTCCAGGATGTACGACTTCGATGGTTTGGATTTAGACTGGGAATTCCCTGCGAAACGTGGCGGTGCCCCCCATGATAAAGAAAATTTCGTTCACTTGATAAGGGTAATGTCCAAATTTGTTTAAAACACTTCCTTAGTATCTAGAATTTGAATAAATAAAGTGCATAATCTCCAGGAATTGCACCACGCTTTCGAAGGAAGAGGTTTGATCTTGACTGCAGCGATTGGTGCTGATAAATCCACCATCGATATGTCTTATGATATTCCGGAAATGTCTAAATATTTGGATTTCATCCACGTAATGGCGTATGATTATCATGGTTCATGGGACAAGCGAGTTTTACCAAATGCACCATTGCATAGTAAAGATGACCTCAGTGTGGTAAGAGACTTTTAAAAGAGGAGATCCAAAATTCCACATTCAAATTTCTTCAGCTGAGCTGCTTTGCACTGCAATCAAATTACTTTGAATAATTCGTAACATAGGAAATATTTCGTATTGTTTCTTTCAGGAAGAGAGCATAACCTACCTCTTAAAAAAAGGAGCTCCACCGAGTAAGCTCGTCGTGGGCCTGCCAATGTATGGAAGGACTTTCGTCTTGGTATCTCCATTATCATCCGGAGAAAGTCCAATCGGGGCTCCCAGTCTTGAGAAAGGTTTCCCGGGACCATTCACTCGTGAGAATGGATTCATGGGATACAATGAAGTGCGCTATAAATAATTCGACATTAATTTTTAAACCTCCTTTGCACATCCTTGCGCCAACTCGACTAAGGCACCCATTCTTGCACTTGAAACTTTATTTTATTCTCTAGAAATTAATTCCTATTAATTAATTACGAGTATAAAAGGAGTGACTAATTCTCGTTTGCTCGATAGGTTTGTCGAGAACTTTCAAATCGCACTAAAGAATGGATTAATAGTTGGGACGACGAATCGCAGACTGCGTATGCAGTTAACGGAGACAAAGTCGTCGTTTATGACAACCCGAAGAGCATACGTGCAAAAGTAAGAATTCTAGGCAGAATTTAAATGCAAACGTTTAATTATTTATAGACTTATTCTGAATTTATTGCTTGAGGATAACCTATTTGTTATGGCTACTCCGTTTACTTTTTTATGACTTTTAGATCGACTTCGTTGCGAAACTCCAGCTGGCCGGCGTGATGGTGTGGAGCATCGACACTGATGACTTCCGGGGCGAATGTTCGACTCTTCATGACTTCCTGACTCCTTTGAAAGGATTTACTTATCCTCTTATGAGGGCCATCAATCAGGCCTTGGAGGCGCCGGCAGAGAAATTCGAGGATAACGTTGTAGACGTTAAAAAGTCCTCCGCAGGGTCGCTCTTTGCTCTTAATTCCGTCCTCGTTATGTCGTTGTACGCCGGTTTACTATAAAACAGAATGGGAAATCATTTCGACTGTAATTCATTTTACCAGATCAGTAAATTCGAATTGATTTTCATCATTCCGGGTAATTCAAAGTCCCCGGTGGAGCTTAGCCTGCCATCTATCGGCGGCGGAAGGGAAGCAGACGCCATATTGGATTTTTAAATTTACCACCCGAGTACGCTTCAATTTTCTATAAATTATAATCTTACCATTGCACGGTATACGAGATGGAATTTTTGTTGGTACTACAAGATCCCGTTACCGCGGACCATATTAAAAATACTTTTCATGTTATCGTACGCATTTGTAGAGTACAAAATTACTCTCTTGGAACTTTTAGTATTCATCGAAGAAAGGCAGTGAATATGAATTTACAATGATCGATCGATGAAAAGAAACGATATCATTGATCTCGTCTTTTCGAGTGGGTAAGTTGTACGCGCTAACGGGATCACGATCATAATATAGGGTTCAAATCACGTGACAGCTCCTCTGATAACAAGATGTCCACCTCGCCACTTCAAGGTGGCATGGATGTTCTTCGGCGAGGTCTTTTCGAAAACGAATGCCGACAGATTGGTCGTTATCAGTGAAGTGGCCGTTATCGGAACCTTGCTTGCCGATTGGTCCGCGCGTTCGGTAATTATTGGGCGATATCATGACGCCACCCACGCGCGTCCTTAATCGGCGCCATGTTAACGATTTTTTTTCGATCCCAATAACGCACCAACGACCACGAACTGATTACGTTACGCGTGATGCGCTTCGAAAGGAAATCTGATTCGTCGAGTCTTCGAGAGAGCTGCGGCTTTTCTGCAATCCGTCGGATCTGCACTGATTCTCCACTCGCGTGACGACTTATTGAAAAGTCTCGTGATGATCAGGTGCCTTTTTTTAATCAGTTCGTCTGATATAGATGATAATTGAATGAAAGGAAAGATGATATTGAGACTTGGAGTTCCATCTCGTACGTATTATAATTGGAGGTTTTATTACCTTTTAAAGACCGTCGAAGGAATCTCGCCATTTTACCTTACGCGTATGAATGAAATACCATCGGCTTCGAAAAACTATTATCCACTGATTTGCAAGCGAGTGAGTACGCTCGTTAAATTCGGCGAGGCTCGTTTGAAAGGGTGAGCTCCATTTGCGAGGCGAATGTTACGGATTCGTCGATGCAGTCTGCACATTCGGATGCATTTTTGTCCCTGCAGGAGGAAAAAGAAGTGCAACTATTTCTACCTCTACACGTTACGTTCAAGATCTAACACTCAAAAGAAAAAAAAAGACGCCCTAAAAAATCTCTGAGAAAGAATGAGGGGATTTAACCGAAATCTCGATAAATAGTTCAATAAGCTAGATCGACAAAGAGCATATTATTGTTTTATTCTTCACCTATTTGTTGGAATGAAATTCAGCAGGCTCAATTTTTGCAGGATAAATCCGGAAAGTTAAGGCGGGTATTTTAGTGTCCTGGAGGTGCGTCAATGATATCGAATTACTTTCGACTCCAGTTTCCTCGATATGGGGATAATTGCCATCTTGTCATAGAGATGACCGACAGAGGTAAGCCGTGTAGGAAAGCCTCACTTTAAGTCACTATGTCAGGGTTATAAGGAAATCCCATGTGGGAACCCCCACGTTAGGAGGATCCTTAAGGATGTTCCTTGCAAACTTTCGGCTTACGTCGCTTCTGAATATCATTCTTACTCAAAGCTTTATACTGGATTACATGGTAATGTCTTCGGGGCTTTAAGAGGGCTTTAAATTACGCCCGACCTTCTAGTTTCTCATACATGGCTCTTGTCATCGCATACTCAATGGCGAGAGCCAATCTCCTCACCTCAGAAATTTGTCCGTCGACAGGGCGAAATAGACGAGGAGATATTTATTGTCTCGAGTATTTTCGGGCAGAGAAAATCGGAAGTTTTCAGGTGATTAACTCATTTGCGTCGTTTAAATATCCCGAATCGGCGAAGAGTACGTTTTTGTATCGGCATGGAGTTGACGGCAAGTGTATATCCCACGCATGCGCAGTTTCAACGACTTCAGTGCTCATAGAAGCCTAGAAGGATACGTTTGATATTCGCTAATTACCATGTTAGATAACTGACGGCGATGTTTCTTTTTTTTTTAATCAGGATTGTATTTATAGACCTGAAACTTCGCTATATTTCCATCGTGGAGGAGGGGAGTTTTTTTTTACAGTTTTTCTTTTCTTCTTCTGCCACAAAATGGCGCCGCGATGCGGCAAGGCTCTGTAAAACATGAATTCCTCGGCCATTTAGAGATAGGTGGGCTTATTTCTTTTTTCTCGACTGGTGAAAAGTCAAAATTAATTGCCACATCAATCGCCTGTATTCCGTAACGATTACGTAATTTCGCTATGAATAAACATATCTTTAGAGGCAGATCAAAGCGTCGCTTCAAAGCCCTTCAACGCTCCAGATAATTGGTGAATATGATCGGTCGGTAAATACAGGGCGTCGTTAGTGTCGAATTCACTTCTAAAAGTTTGATTAATGGGGAGGGAATCAGGCGGAATGGGTTTTTCTTTTTCGCGAAAGGCGAATTATTTCGAACTCCGCCACGCGCGCCGCCATCTTGGAATTTCGAAGGAGTGCTAATGGCGCAGATAATCGTATCTTTCTTGAACCGTACAACTTTTCGCAGACAAAATGCCGTTTAGAATTATACTTCGCATCCCGACGATTTAATCTCTGGCTACATATCGAAGTACATCCCTTGGTAATGTTGAAATCTAATCAATCGAATTTCGTTCATTTAACGAAACGCCGGCTTCGCGGATTGCGAAGTGACGCAATACTTTCGGAGCTTTAACTCTTGTTAAACCTCGAATTGAGAGGCAACAACATTGTTACGAAGGTTCGTCTCGTCATGTGTAACGTAACCGTTGTGTAATTTAACATTATTAAAGTACAGTGGGCGAGAATACGTTGCAATAAGTCACCTTAAATTACTATGACATTAAGTACCATTACATATTAGGCATACAGTTTTCAAGGATTATTTAAATTATACCATTGTGCCGTTACACTTTCTTTTTAAAGAATAAAAAAAATTGACTCGTGAAACTTTCGGGAGGTTTCTCGTGGTCTTTCGAGTGATTTGGCTCTCGTGTATTCGAAACTGATAAGGAGTTTCCCTCGAGTGGTCATTCCTGTAAAAAGGGAAGGGGCGGAAAGAAAAAAGGCAGAAAAATTAGCGAAAAGCCTCTTTGACAAATGAATGGTCACCGGCGAAGGGACAGGCTCTGTTCATCCGGAACTGTCATGGCCGATTAGACGCTCCTTTGCCGAAGAAACTCGCCCAAGCCACCCCCGTCTTCTTTTTTCCTCCAAGATCCTGAAAATCCTGTAGGGATAAGATCTTGCTCGATTCCTTATTGGAAACCTGTGGGTCTTTCTGCTCCTTTACCTGTACAAAGGAAACATTTCTCACTTACACATTGCTATATAAATATTACATACCTAGTACCTTAAATTAATTATTGAATTTAAATTATTTAACGCGACTGATGATGATGACTTATATGAAATTGTTTGTAGGAAAATGAAAACCCTGGAGAAGAAAGGCACTCTCCATTGGGAAAGCAACCAACGAAACGGAACTCTTCGACTTTGAAACAAGTACTCTCGAAAACTGCGCAACAATGTCCGGGGACACGTCGAAGGCCGATTCAATGAGTTTGGAAATCCAATTTTCCCACTGTTTTGCGCCCCTGGGGGAACAGGTGCAACTGCATCAGGAATCACTGCTCCCGGGAGAGCTTTCACGGACATGTCGAGCTTTTTACGATCAGAGCTGAGGGGCGAGCTTCCTAAAATAAAAGCCGAAGGAAAGCAAAGACGATCAAGTACGTGGGCATACCCTGCACTAGCTCCCTTACAATTAAACATTACAATAGCAAATTAAGTCGCGAGTTTTCTCTGAATACCTTGTCATTAAGTCCTGGATTATTTACCACGTTTCCACCGGCGTCTTAAATGTCGGATTTATAAGTATCAATAAATATTGAATTAACAAGTCCGCTGTATAATACCATTTCCATTATTGAATCGTGGCATTACGGTCTTCGTTAATTTAAATTCGGCATTTAGGTAAGGAGGAAATGTGGTAATTAATAAGATAGAGGAGGATTGATGACATAGAGAAAAATTGTTTATTTTTAAAAAACTCGACTATGAGAATGATACTAATTCGGATAGGAAATTCATGCCGATGGTGCTGGTTTCCGGTGAGAATCCAACATGTTGGGGAACCACCTGTCGAATGAACGACCCTGGGGAAGAGACATATAGAGGATCCAAATATAGCCGGAAACCGGACGTAGGTATCCCGGCGAGAAATTGCCGAATTTATTACCTTGTTTAAACGATTGGTATCGATTTGCCGATGTTGGGAATCGTGCCTCTTGTGCAGGGACGAATGATCGCTGCTTTGGGGAGTAAAATAACCTTGAAGAGGTTTCCCAGGAAGCGGCAAATTGTCGCAGCAGTTTACTCTGCCAAATGTAAAATTAATGGGGGAAAGGAAGAAAAAATAAGAAAATTAATAACCCGGGGAACGACTTGATAATATGTTTTCCAGATCCGACGACGCGACTCCGGTAGCATTTCAGCTTCCCACTCTGGATTTCAATATTTTCCGCTTCCTTGTATTACGTCCCAAGAGAAGTTCCAAGTCATTCAAATACGCATTTAATTTCATTAATAAGGTAACGAGCATTTCAAGTCGACTTTTTTAATATACGTCATGGCTCTGTTAACAAATAGTTTCGATGGATTCTAAGATTAAACGAAGGCGTAATAATCAAGGACGGTTTCCCCCGAAGAGGAGGTCGAGGTGATCGCTGCAAGGCGTAGGGGAATTAAAGCTGAAAAAGGAAAATAACGAGCGGAACGACAATAGGAACTGCATTGTGTGTCGTTAAGTCCCAGGTCCGAGTCCACTAATCGCGATGGGGATTGGCCGGGTTTATAGATGGGAACCCCTTCCTTGCGGCACTTCTGGATCCGTTTCGAAAGTCTCGGACTTAAAGGGGTTGCATGTCATGGCATCGCTTTACCCCTTTACGAGAGAAACCTTTACGATTCGTTTCCCGTAACACGACGATTAGGCGACGTCCTTCTGTCGCCGCCATCTTGGTATCCGAGTGTCCGCAACTTTTCGAAATTCCCTTAAGATGAACATTGAGAATTATCAGCCTTTCTGAATGATCTCTCAACTCAAAGTTCCACTCCAGATTAGCAATGGATCTGAAAAGAATTATTTCTTCATCCTTTACAATTCCTTTCAAACCTTTACGATTTGTTTCCCGTAACACGACGATTAGGCGACGTCCTTCTGCCGCCGCCATCTTGGTATCCGAGTGCCCGCAACTTTTCTAAATTCCCTTAAGATGAACATTGAGAATTATCAGCCTTTCTGAATGATCTCTCACCTCAAAGTTCCACTCCAGATTAGCAATGGATCTGCAAAGAATTATTTCTTCATCAGATCATCGGTATACACTCCAGAAATTTATTTATTCAATTTTTCATTTTCTCGACCCATCGTATTTTAGCGCTGAATTAAAATGAATTATCCTGTTTAAAATATCAGGTGTTAGGGGTACGAATTAAAAATCATTTTCCCTCATTACTAATAATAGAAATTTGTTGTTCTGTTCACTGAACATTTATTGCTCTTAGGGTCTGATGTCAGAAATTGATTATTCTTTTTTTTCTTCCCTGGAAGTTTAACTTGGAGCCATTCACACATTTTTCCCGTGATATCTCGAAATCCCAAAGATGATATCAAGCGATTTCCGAGGCAATCGGTTGATTAGAAGGCGTTAAATTAAACGGACTGTCTGCACGGACAGTCGGATTTCTGATCTTTTGAATTTGCGGGTGCACAGAAAGGCGAAAATAAATGGAGCGAGCTTTAAAGAGATCTTGAGGGAAACTCAAGCATCCAGCTGAAATGCGTCGGTAAAGCTTTACGATAAGAACTCTCTTGGGCGACCTCTTTTAAAACGCTATTTTTTCCCCTGTCTTCTGTCATCCATTTTTCGCCGACCCGAAAGATGAGTTAAATTTCTTGCTTATCTTCCGTCTCTTTGAGGTGATATGAAAGGGTCTTTCAACATATATTTAGACATGAAGAAATATATAAAACATATCTCCAAACCGTGTGCAACCGAATAATTTTAAACTGCAACACGTGATTATGGAGGTCTCAATGAAGATCTTGAAACTCGGGAAATTTCAATTTCTCGAAAATGAATGTATTTCATTTTGACTCTTTGATATGTATGTATATAAAATGATCCTTTCATACTACCTTAAGGCCTTGGTTTAATCCAACCGGCTAAAATCAATTAATTATTGGCAAAGGTTAATTAATATAAATGTGCAGTCCAGGGAGGGAAATTTATATCGCGATATTAAACCGGGAAAAATTTCTCGACTTGGTCTCCGATCTTCCATTTTCACATCGAATGCGATATTACGTCAGTCGAAATGCATGCGAAATGCATTTCTTATCAGAATTGCAGCGGTTTGAAAGATCTCGGGGCTTCCACGTATATTTGCCATTGTGCTTTATTAAGTTGCGGGTGGAGGTACTGCATTTTTATTTTCCCGATTTTCTTTTGCCCTCCTACTGGGAATTTTTGCCACTGGCTGACTTTTAAGAAACCTCCCTTCGCATGTACTTTCCAGTGCGTCCCAAGTATTCCATGAATTCACGTCGTGCGAAAGAAATGACATATACATGTCAAAGTATTTACATCTCGACCGACGTCGATATAAAGTATGAGATTTGGTAAATGCCTTTATTATATATTAACGCAACAAAGCATTATACCAGATATTTTGCGTTCCCGTTTGGGACAAAGTGAGAACAATGTGATAGAATTAAAAATGAAATTTACAGTACTTCAAAAGGGGGCGAAAAATCCAGTTCATGTTTTTGACAGTCTCCTAGCCGTTGTCATGGAACTAACATTGTACATTCTGGGGAATTACATTGTATGCGATATATTACAATACATCCCTCGGAGCGAAAGGGTTAATCAGCTCAGGAGTCTTCCGTGTATGTATTTCTGTATTGCACATGACCGTGACAATGGCAGGGGTCTTGCATGTACTTCTGCATTGCACGTGACTGTGACAATGGAGTTATCCAAAATTGTTTAATTAGGATGCCCTTAGACGAAGATGGCCAAGGTACTCGTAGAAGGCCCTTGGACTTCCTCTTATCCGGATTAGAACACATTGTGGCACATGAATCTTCATATGCCACATTTCCGGGTGCTCTTTGCACGAATAATGGAACGTCGCCGGAGCATGCAATTTCTTAAGAGCTGCAGGTAAAACTGCACTTTGACATCGCCTTAATTTCGAGCGAGCGAGGTTTTCTGCTTTCGTCTGAAACAATGGAAATTATATTTACGACGAATCGCGGCGCTCCCGAGGACGCAGTTTCGTATATAATAAGGAATCTTTTCGGTCTAAGCATTTCCCATTTCCTTCGATGCTACTTCCTCTTTGCTTGGTATCAACAGAAATTCCAATTTAATCCTGGCGAATCGTCCTCGAATTAATTTTTTTATTTTATTTTCCACCATCTACGTAGCGACCTCGCCCAAAACCAGAACAATCGGTAAACAAATTTGAATGTCAATTGGCACTGGAAATAATTACCGTGGCATAATTAAGGTGACATTGAACGGTCATTCTATATATTTTTACACTTCGGTACGTATATATGAACTTTTTCAAAGTCTTATCGGAAGAAACGCGTGGACGTTCCTTGAAATAAACTCTCGGCGATTTCAATGGAATTTTAACGAGCTTAATTCGTAAGAGTTTCGACAATCAGACTTCTACCCGGGAAAATTGAATCGCGCTCCGCCGCGTTCGATTTTCCCGATAAAAAGGACCGCCGGCGGAAAAGTTTTTCCGTATGCAATTACAATAATCGAGTAACACAACAGCCGAGGAATACTTTATCGAACCACAAACAGACCTGATTTCTTAAATAACTTAATTTCCTCTCGATTCCGACATTTCGGTACGCATCTCGACAGCGGGAAGCTGCGCGGTCGCTGATTGGTCGAAAAGTTTCGTCGTCACGTCATTTGAAATGGAAATACCGTCTACAGTTATATTTTAGGTCCCGGACATAATCTAATAAATATTAGAATTTCATCCGAATTTTTTTCGACCTCAGCAGCCGCGGGAAGCAGCGCGGCTTCTGATTGGTCGAGCGGCTGGTGGCCGCGGTACCACGTGGGTGGCCGGCCGAGACTATATAAGGCCGCGGGACCGCGAGGACGTCACAGTTCCTTCTGCGCAGCTGTCACGTGACCATCCCGACTTCCGATAGCGCGAAAAACCCGGCGGAGTGAAGTTTGCGAGCAGAAAACTCACGCGGAAGGAGCGTATCCGTTACTAAAGGGGAGATTCGGGGGTGAGGCATGCGAAAACGTTTCCTTATACCTTGCCGTTCCATTCGGCCATTTTCTCCTTTTTTCGCTCTTACCGTTTCAGAATCTAGAAGCGAATGAGAAAATATATTTGACCGAAGAAATATTTTTTTATTAACTCGAAGAATAATCATTTGACTGAACTAAAGTCAAATAAATTGTCGGCAATTCCGAAGAAGCGGTCCATCGTATTTATTCCAGTTTATTCCAGTCGAATTTTTGGAATTAACGAAATATTTCCTTGGTTCGGTGAAATTATTTTCCTCACTGTACGTACTGGAAAATGTTATTAACATTTTAAATTTCAGTTAAATTTAATTTAATTCAGTTACGAGGTGCGTAAAAGAGTATGTCAATTTCCATCGACTTTTATCAGTGCACGTATTGATATGATCTAGGGAGCAAAAATTCCGGAATATTGGAATCCAACTTCTCGTTTTTATTTTTATAAAAGGGCCGTGGAAATTCAGGAATAAATCGTTGAGAAATCGCATCATTACTCAGGACGTGTTTATTAACTCTTTCAAGGGAAGCAAAAAAAAACTCATTCATAGAAATATATGCACGGTGTCTGACGTGAGGTAACATAATGATTGTATATTAATATCAGAAGTTGAACTAAACGCATTGCACGCCTTTAATCGAATTAATTTCGGTCACGGGATCTTACGGCTTTTCGGAGAGCATGGGTGGCTGCAATGCAGGGTGGTTCATTAACGTATTAATAACGAAACAATGAAGGATACCTCAGTATGTCAAAATCAGGCAAACTAACAACCGACGTTGGTAAAATATACGGTTATGAAATGATAAAACTGTCTCTATCCTTCTTAAGAGAATAATAAATCCGCCCTTGGGCATGCATTACGGCATACGAGGTGAAGGATTTGTTAACAATTCCCCGTTTGGACGTAATTAATCGCTTTGACATTAAAGCGAAAGGTGTTTACATTATCTCATTACCTGTGAGTATTTAAGGGGGCTTTTATGTCCTCTTGTTAGGAAGAGGGATACTGATAAGGAGTCTTCTGATCAAATCCTTCAAGAATAGTCTTCTTTCAGCCTTTCCATCTACGCTTTATGAAAAAACTCTCCGATTGAAGGAAATCGGACTTTCATGCTTTATGGTTTATCTTGGGACGGATTCTATGTAAACGACTATTTCGGAAAGGAGGAGGGCGTTACATCTTTTTACCCGATTTTCTGATGAGAGACGTACACCCTCGTATTTTTTTTCTCTGGCGATATCATAAAGTAATTAACCCTTTGGTCACTAAAGACATCCGATGTTTGGTTCAATATTGCGTGCCCGCTTTGATGAATCTCGCCCTTATGTCGAGAGGGCTAAGAAGTGTGATGGAAGTTCTTTAAAAGAAAAGAAAAGGAAAAAGAAAATTAAAGTATCAATTTCCACGATTTATAATTATACATCACGTGTTTAAAAATCTTCCTGTAATTTTCCCAGGAGGTGGAGGAAAGAAAAATTGCTAATAGGATTGCAATATTGCAATACTATCAATTATTAGTCTACATTGAGCCAATATAATATCACAATAAATTACAATAAATATTAAATTCAATATGTCGGGCCAATATAGAACGAACATGGCTCGGGACTCGTTATTTCGTTATGATATTTTTGCAGTAACAATTATATTCTATAATTTTCCAACGAGGAGACTATGCGAAAGGGAAGGAATTTCTCGCGTTAAATCTTCATTTTTATTGTAATTAATCTTCTAGGGACACTTATGCTACATTTTCTAAGTGCCGATCGCTGTTTCGTGATTTCGAGATTTTAACACGCGTTTATCATTAGAGCGAAAATAAATTGTAACAATGACGATAACAATTGCTCGACAGGGCGAGAGATGCGTGCGAGGTGCGTGAAGAATCGATTGGGTCCAAGCAGCTTCGGACTCGGAGGGATAGAATTTGCAGCATGGATTTGGATCGGATGTGCTCTTTTTAACATTGTCCTCTCCCAGGAGAATTTTTATACCCACGGAAGATATGGGAAACGCGAAGAGCACCAACAATGTAAGTGTCAAGATTGTTTTCCTTCCGCGGAGAAGAAACAGTTGGTTGACTGAAAGAAATTTGCATTGCGATAAGAAAAATGCATTGCGATAAGAAAAATGTGCATTGCGATAAGAAAAATGTGCATTGCGACAAAGGAGTACGTACTGTGACATAGAAACGTGCAGTGCGGGAGAATCCTTCGATCAAGTAGGTCGAATCAACCGAATTCGCTGAGATACCGCAATATAAATGTTCCTTCGTAACATGAAAAAGAAGAAAAAACAAATTATTGTTTCTTGCATGTATACATGATCCAGGCGACGATATACATGTCGATGTGCAATTGTTTCAGTCAACTTAACTTTTTATCTCGGTGTATACGTGTCAATTACCTTTCCTGCGTGCACCTCTTTCTTCCTCTTTTTTTCTTTTTCTCTCCCTCATTTTTTCTTTATTTTTTAAATTACCCCTGCAAAACTGAATCCATTGGGCGGGTGCGACAGAAGAGACAGGAATGAATGCTGGATTCCAATCTATACGGAATGTGTAATGGAATTTAAGCCCGTAATGAAATCACGTGGACTTCAAAGAGAGGTGATAACGTTCGGTCCTTTTCATAGTCCAATTTTCTTTTTACTTCCTTTTGATTCTTGAGGTCGAGGAATTTATTTTTTTTTTTATTTAGGAAGCTTCGTGGGGATTTCTTTCTTTTTTGCGAGTAAAGCTAAGGCTCGTGGAAATTAACGGGAGGGAATGCGATTCAATGTTTGGTGGGATCTCGGTACTCCGTTTGATTCTTGGTCTTGGGTTTCGAATTTGTGCACACCCCCGTCGTATTTTCCGAAACTCTCGGGGTGCTTTCGAATAAGTGATTCCCTATGGAGGAGCAATCTCCCGCTCGATCTTAAATCAATCTCAATCTCGAGAGTTGGTAAACGAGGAAACTTCTTGGGATAAAAAATCCCCGGAAAGTGTAAACCATTTAAAGTCACGATTTATCCTGTGCTTTCCTCTCTCGATCGGATCTTGCGATTCGACTGTTTAATCCGACGAATAAGCAGAAGAGAGGTCCCTTGTCATTAGGATCGGCTCCCTTTTCTTTTTTTTTTTCTCTCTCTTTTTCTTCCATTTCTTGCAAGGACTCATTAAGGAGGAAACGGAATTTAAATCGCTCAACTGTTTTCAGATTTTTCACGAGGTTCCACTTGTCGATATTGGACCTTGTATTTGATTTAGAAAAATCGACTTCAAGATAAGGAAGACTTAACTTCTGGTTTTGTTTCCTCTAAGTGGATTAAAAGTGAATTAGGAGTGCGATTGAGAGGTGATCATTGTGTCTATATCCGATTCATATCCAGGCATTATTTTGTAGATGTCAAATACAGTCGGCTTTCGTCATTGGAGATTGTTTCGCGAATGACGATTATGGTCGGCATTCATCTCTAAGGGTCCCTTTGTGGAAACCGGCTATGGTGGGCGAAAGAGTTAAAAGATATATTTGACGTTAATCAATTTAAATTTAACTTTTAGAAGGTATGAACAGAGGCTACTTGATTCGCGGGTTAACTTAACGTACGTCAATTTTAATCTTAATCGACTTTCCATACTCGAAGTAGGTATAAATGATCTTAGAGAAATCCTTTCGAAGTACCTTATTTCTTGAAAGGGAGTAAATAGAGTATAAAGGGAATACCCGAATTATGAGAGGAATATCTTAACACGGTGGCGGATCGATAAGTTCAATCATGACCGGAAACGAAAGTCGGAATAAAATAGGCTTTACAGGGAATCTGGTATCTGATCTCCGATAATGAAAGAAAAGCACTCGACCTCTTCCTCCTAAATGAGATCACTTTAAAGGAACCCTGGAATAAGACTTTTCGTTCAGGTCTAAATTGTATGTACAAAGCTCCTTCTTTTTCTTATTAATTTTTGTTATTAACAAGTGAGAAAAGTTTCAGAGGCAATAGGAAGGCTTTTCCTACTTACCGAAAAAGAAATAAACAATGGAATATGAAAGAACACCATTGGGTAATAAAAAAAATTGTAAACTTGAAGTTGCAAGAAATGTCCCCTCGGTGAATAATTAGAGCATCGCTTTTCCTTTATGTTTGTTAAGACGTTCCTTGAGGGAGGTTTGGTTGAATTGCAAAACCAATTGACTTTTTCAGTCCAGATACTCCGTTATCCTGCAACAGGTGGTTCCCTGTTCTCCCGGAATCCCGTCGAGAAAATAGTTCCTCGTAAATATCGAGGGAAGCTTTACAGAGCTTTCCCTCCAAAATGGTCCCAAGCAAGAACAGGAATTCCCTAAAATAAGAATTTCATTAATCCCGGTTCAAACCGATTACCGTAAAAATTGCGGCCGTCATTTGGCCTCCCTAAAATAATTAAATGATTACTTTCATAATTAATAAATAGCCTAATCGCGTGGTTTGAATTCTCCCGAGGAAAATCCTGAAAATGGTCGAGCTAGAATTTTCATTTCCCTACTTTTTGAAGCGCATTTTCGTTATTACCAATTATTGGCAATTCTCGTTGCGAACGTTTCGAGGGAATTCCGGAAATGAGTTACCCCCGGGGAGGATCGTTAATAATTATGGTTTGTAAGAACGCTTTTTGCGGGAATTCCGGTCAGATGTCTAAAATTTCATAGCCATTATCGCCCCGATAAAAATATCAAATATCCGCTCATCGGTTAATTGCAATTATTGCGCATTGCGCGGCGCGCTCGGGGAAACTTTCGCTAACGATTAAATGAGTTACCTGATCTAATTAAAGGAGTTTTCGGAAGTTCCGAGTACCTCGGGCAGTACCGTAGAATGCATCCAGTTAAGTACTTCCGTTTTGTTCGAGAAGACAATGCAATTTAAATATCACAAGGCACGGCCTACACGGTGCAGAGATAACTGGGGAAGTATTATATAACGAATAATAACAGCAATTATAATCGAACTTTGCATCTCGCATTAAACAAAGCCCGGGATTCATTAACAACTACGAAGTACAATAAACCAGGGAGAAAAAAAATATAATCAAAGTTTAAAGCGCCAAAATCTGAGGTCTATCTTATATCATTAATCGAGTATAGAGACATGTCATTTGTACGAAGTTCTTGTACATGTGTACTTGGCGCGAAACTCGGCCTTTCTTAATCTACACTTAATACGATTTCAAAGTACTATTGGGTAGTACAGTTTACAGCCGTGGATTAGCGACCTTTTTCAGTTGCGATCCGTCGTTTTGGGAGTACCATAGAGAGTGACACTTTTTACCCATCAATGGGGTTCGTGTCGGGGAAATTAATGGCCGCAAACAATGGCCGGTTTCCTCTTCTCTCTGTGCGAATGACGGCACTGTTCAATTTGAGCCTGAAACGAGGAAAAATTCGTTATTTCAGCGTCCCTCTTCTGGTCGGGCAGCAGGTACGGGCGCAGTGGCGCCACCGGCGAGAGGAACGCGAAGTCGATCTCGAAGGCTGTGGAGGTAGCCCCTCGAGTGGATCGTTTTTTCTTCGGGAGCCGATATGGAAAGAGGACGTTGCCTGCGATCTCTTTTCGAACCTCGACTCCCTTGACGCGTCTCGGCGCTGCGTTGAACTATTTGAATCAAGCGCGCCGCGCCGAGCGCGCCAGGCACAATGACGGCGAATTCCCGAACCACGACGACCGCACGAGACGAATGGAACATTTGCGCCGGGAATTGAGTGAGTTTTTTCATATTTAAAATTCCAGTTCATGAGTTTACGAAGACGCATGCTACTTTATACCGGAGTAAAACGGCGTTTACACGGCGTTTAAATGCCAATAGTTACTATTTTAATTTTAATTAACCGATGTATCAGCACGTGTAAATGTACTCCATAACTACTGGTGTTGGGTGTGTAAACGCTGTTTTTGAAGTTTTATAGAGACTGACTGCGTCTCCACCGTACTCAAAATCCGGGATTAATCAAGTCAAAATGTAGTAAATCTGAATTAAAGTGTCGATCGAATATGCGTCATTATTAATGCGATTTACTGGATCCAGACTTAATAAATGCCGGATTTCGAGCACGATTAAGATGTAGCCATTTAAATGGAACTAGACATATACCTACCGGTGATTTTATTTCCTTAATAACAGTGTAAATTAAATTATCTAAAATATGGAGATGCAGCGAAGATCTATGTAGACTGTGATTAATATTTATGTTACCTTTTACAGCTTTGCCTAACTCTATTTTCAGTCAATCGGCAGTGCTAACACGTAAATCCTCGTGGGATAACGGCGGGGGAAACGGAGAAGGTGGAGTTAGTTTGAATTTCCCTTTCTTCAAGAAAGAACCGGGGATTCCCCTTGGGCGACATCTTTGAGATCTACGAGACCCAATCAGCCAATCGCGTTCGACGATCGACGAAATCAGTCATTTTAAAGAGATACTTAACAGTTCCATTCCACTCGGTGTTACGTTTAGAGTTTTATTGTCGAACGAAGAGGGTCTTCTCGAGAGCTCCGTGGAAACAATGTTATCAGATTCGCCATATTGAAAGTTATTGTCCAATGGGATTCGTACGTAAAATGCAGAATTGGCTGTTTATACGGATGCGATCAATCAATCTCGTCTCGAAATATCCCAAGAGCACGGAATTATATCGTAGAAAGCGTTAAATAACACCTAAACCGCTGGGAAAAGGAAAAAAAGAAAAAAATTAAGCGATTCAAAATGGCGGACTGTTAGTTAAGAAATTTGCAGCTACTGGAAATGAAGCTCCGTTGACTAAAATGGAAAAGGATATTAAGACCTTTTATGACTGTTTCCTTTTCGTAAAGTCTTAGAGTTAGTATTCGATTATTTTGAATTCTTTCTAGAACCGAATAATCCATCCTTAGAGACGTTTACAAAGTAGAGAGATTTAGGGTCGTTAAGCAGTAAGACAAGAAATTAATCCATTAACCTAGGAAGATGCTCTACTGCAACACTAGTCATTACATAATTCGTAGTTCTGCCCTGCTTACCGTTTATTTATTACCCAGCTGCTGATTATATATTAAAAGTCTGAACGTCGTTGTTTACAGTGGACACATAGCACGTCTGTATCCGCTATCCTATTACATAATATTATATTTAACCTATTATTCATTGCTTTGTCTATCTTCATTGTTACATTGCTGAGATGATTTATTATGGACAAGAAAAATTGTAAAAGAAAAAGAAAAAAAAAAGAATGAAGTTGTCAATCTGTCCCTTAAATGTCTTCCCGGGTCTGTTATTTATAAAATAAAACTTGGACAACCTGCGATCCCTCACCAGACCCTCCAAAAATCGATGTCAGACCTAACGTTATTTATTTTTAGTCTCACGATTCTATTTATACATCTTAATTATTCAGTATTTGTTTTAACGTTGATATCATGAGATATTTTGGGTATATTAGTTGTTGTTAACTAGCATTAATATCGTACCTCGGTATAACCTCACTCTATGATATCGACCTGGAAAAAGCTTAAAACTGTTTGCGGCGATCGGTAAGCCATTAATTCCACCATCCCCAGCGAGATGGCGCCACTCCGGGCGGCAATTCAAAAATCAACGCTGGAGCGAAATTTAAAATGGGAAAGAATTAAATGTGTCCGCTAGTCTGCATAATATTGTTAAACAAATTTAATGACAAATTGGGGATGATAAGCACGGGTCCTGGGAATTTATCACTTCTCTCTTCCTCGCTTTAAAGAGGATGTACGCATTTTCTAGGACGGGTCTTTTTTTATCTACAACCTCCAATCGCGATATTTGTTTTCCGAGGCGACGAATTGTTTACCCAAGTCAAGGAAATGAATTATTCCCATGGACTTCCGTTTATCAGCCACTCGAGGATGTCTAAATTCAGGTTAATATGTTTTACAGATCCGTAAATAATTCGTTATTTAAGGGAGCAGATATCGCGAGGGGGGATTTAATTTTAAAAACCTAGGATTGCCCTAGGGCATGAGTCATTCCTCAGAGTGATAACTTGTACATATAGAAACGATAACGATGATAATGTCCATATTTAAATATGATTACGACGACGCATCTACTACGATACCGAATAGGCTAAAGGCGCCCGACGTTTGGTCCAATATCGCCTGCACGGTCAGGCGAATTTCGCCCGTATGTCGAAATGGCTCCGTGTTGCTGCCATCCTTTTTCCAGTCCGGCTCCTAATCTCAAAGTTGGTACAGTAGGGGACATAAATGCCTTCTCTACTTGCACAGGAGGTACGGTATTCAGGAGAAGACATTAATGGCCGTCAATATACATCTTGGCGTGCCAAAAGCGAAATATCTTCTTGGCTAAGAGCCTCGTAGGGCGATCTCCCTCGGGAGACTTCCCCATATCTTCTCTCCCGCCGATAGCGCGGAGTCTTGCGACATGCTCGTGATAATGCCTCGAAGGGAAGCCTGGCCTGAGATTATTCGGTCGCTATCTCGAGTAGTCATAAGTGGAGGCAACTCTAGTCTCTCATCGGAAACGCGCCGAAATAATCGCCTCGAGCTCCGAAACGACTTTCAGTTTCTTCGCTACTATCGGAGGCCTCGCGACAAGGAAAAGTCCTGTAAACATTCCAGGATAGACCCGAGTCCATGAAGTCGAAGATCCATCCCCAGGAAACTCTCCATCGCTGTCAGTGATAAAAATAAAAAGAATCGCTATTTAAGAAAAAAAAAAAAAATATGAACGTCACTTAGAAAGTGAAAAAATCGATATTAAGAACTGAGCGTAACTTATAAAGTAAAAAAAATCGATATTGTTAAGAACTCGACACGATACTTAGAAAACGTAAAAATTGTCACTCTTGTCGGGGGAGATTGACACAAGTGTCCTCGTCGGCAGATTTTTTTTACCCGCAGTTATATTTCCATATCTGTTTGCACGGTTTCGATTAAGAGTCTCGTAATAGGAGAGCCTCGTGTCGGCGATTTTTTTCACTCCTTCTTTTTCCTTCCAGGGAAGAGGAACGGCATCTAGAGGGAGCGGATCATTCCCGAGGGATAACAGGAGAGCGGATTAATTCGAGTTCCCTGAGTGCAGGTTCGTCGCCACCGCTCGACCCGGTAGACGGGAATAAATTACGCGGTAGCCGTAAAACATGTTTGACCGCACTATAAATGAAGGCCTCTTCTTCCTTTTCCTCGTCCAGACGCACTTGGTGTCGGCTTTCGGTCGCGGCGAGACCAGGAAATGGATTTCCTCAAGCCAGGATGGTTCACCGAGGTCAGCGATTTCTGGCCAGGAACGGCGCTCTCCCTCGAGGTGAAGAGGGTCCTCCACCATGAAAAGTCGGCCTTCCAGGACGTCCTGGTCCTCGACACGTGAGTCGAAACAATCTCAAGTCGGGACGAGGGAATTCCTTCTCGTCATATTTTTTTTTTTAACAAGCGTTCCCTCACGGGGAAAAAAAAAGAAACAATTCCTCGCGCTAACCTCCGTGAATTTTCATGAATTTCCATGTCGAGGTCCAGGTGAATAATTTTGTTATTACATTTCCTACGCACCTCGCATTCCCTTTTATAGGTAATTCGTGGATATATGTGCCCATAATTATGAAAGTGGTCTAAGTCAAAATGAAAAAAAAAAATGAGTTCATCAGTTATTTCACGCCATATTATTTCAAGCGAAATTAATTCAATGTAATTTCGAAACAAAAAATATATGACTTGGACCACTTTCATAATTATGTGTCTCAGCACATATCTCTTGTACATTAAACAATGGTGTCCTTGCAGGAAGTCTCACGGCAGAGTCCTGGTGCTCGACGGGCTGATCCAGTGCACGGAGAACGACGAGTGCAGCTACCAGGAGGCGATAGCCTTTCTTCCACTTTGCAGTCACCCTGAGCCGAAGAGTGTACGTCATCTCCTTGATCTTATACATGTGAGATATCCTAATTAGTATTTTTACCCATTCGTCGTTCCCCTCGAAACAATAGGTCCTGATAGTAGGAGGAGGCGATGGCGGAGTCGCTCGGGAAGTCGCTAAGCACCCTGACGTAGAAAAAGTCGTCCAGGTAGAAATCGACGCCTTGGTCCTGGAGGTGTCCAGGAAGTATCTTCCCTTCGTCAGCGTCGGCCTGGACCACCCAAAAGTGACCCTGAACGTGGGGGACGGCTTCGAGTTCCTGAAGAACCACGTCGGCGAGTTCGACGTCGTCATCACGGACAGCTGCGACCCTATCGGTATTTTATTTTTCATTGCCCTTATACATTTTTTATAATATATATGTAAATTCGATTTACATCCAAGTACCGAGTACGTACCTATCCAGGAATTATTTTCATTTTCAATATCTTTTTTAATTGTTCCTCTCAGGTCCTGCGGAGCGCCTCTTCCAGGAGCCGTACTTCCAGCTCTTGAAAGCCGCCCTGAAGCCGAATGGCATAATTTGCAGTCAAGCAGGAAACCCTTGGTCCCAGATCGAGCACGTGTCGAGCACTTTCAGACTCTGCAAATCCGTATTCCCGACCTCGGCATACGCGGTGACCTCGGTGCCGACCTACCCCACGGGTCAGATTGGGTTCGTCCTCGGCACCTCCAATGCGGTTGGTTTTCTGCATGTTATTTTATTTTAATTTTATTTAAATCCACAACCCCATCGGCGATTTAAGGCGATAACCTGATCACACTGAGAAAAAAAAAATGTTCACCGAACCAAAGAAATTTCCCCGGGTCGATGAACCTTTCCTCTCTCCGAGCTTGAATTTCACATTGACCGCCAATCACTAGCGGGGTTAAAAATATTAAATAAAAACACGAAGGCCGTAACAATTAATACTTGTTCCCTTTCAGAACGGAAATTTCAAGGAACCCGTCAGGATATTCACAGACCAGGAACTGGAGAACATGGGAATGCGATATTACAGTGCCAACGTCCACAGGGCAGCTTTTGGACTGCCCAGATTTCTCGAGAAAGCTCTCAGAAATTGATTCAGTAATTAATAATTCACTTGACGTGGGCAACAAAGCTTGCGCCATTCCCTGTCGGTCCCGATCACATTTTCTTAAGTTTATACGAAATAAACCGTTTCTCACAGTCTCGTTAGTTCGAGGAACTGCCTCGAGAGGGCGCCAAGAATCTCGCGATTTCGTCAAAGCCTAGAAAAATTGGGGAATTCAGCCCCGAGCCTGTTAGAAATTCTTTATTGTTCCGGCCGTCGCGCCGAATAAACGTCGAATATAACAGCTCGACTTGTAAATGTATAATATAAATCTCTATACGTATAATTAGCAATAAAAGTCGGCTTAAAAAATACCATTAATCACGAGGCGAGTAGGCTTCTAACATTCCAGCGTTAAGGGCCTCCAATTCGTTAAATCCGAGGTTAACGATTAACGTTACACAAAGCCGCGTTATAACATATACATTGTTATGTGTCTTGTGTACGCGTACATATATAAATATCCAGTAGTAATGTATTAAACTAGGCGCATATACAATTATTTACTAGAATAAACCCCATCGAGAACTAATGGCACCCTGGCTCGCATTTCCGCTCAGTCAGGCTTTCCTCGAGAAATCTCATATCTTCGTTAATTATCCTCGCTTCCACCCACTCCGTATTTCTCAACGACTAACGAAGAGATTCGTTATTAGTAAAGCGTGAGATTTTTGGTAATGGTTATTTCATATTAGTTATCTAAGGCTCTACGAAAGCGTAGAAGCGCGAGGGGCCTCCTCGCTGCGTTTCGTAAGAGATAAAAATATAGATAACCGTTTAAGTAAACGAGATATATATATATATAAGAGAAATAAAGAAAGCGCGTAGAGAAAGAGAAGAAGCTCGATCCGGATCAAAAGGCACGATTAAATGTTTCTTAAAAAGGCGAGATAATTGATTTCTCATCCCGTCGCGCGTTTATCGACTGGGTTTTTTTAATCCTTTCTTAACAGTGTATCTGGTAATTACGTGGCATTAATTAGAGGATCGTTAAGCGACCTCGATTGAGCTTGAGGCGATCCGGACGAAGAAAAAGAAAATGGCGTCGGAAGGTATAGAGAACGTGCCGCGGAATTAACGCGCGCGGCTCTTCTGGAAATGAATACAGTCAAATGATATGTTGCTTCTCTTGTTAATCGGTCTCAACTTAACGTTAAATAATTAAGGCTTAATACGCATTAAGGGCTCGCGAGTGGCAGGACGAGCTAGCTTGTAAGGACGTCGTGGAAAAGGCAATTTCGTTTCCGGTAGCGCGAGACCGGGAAGCCGAAGAGCGTCTTCGCGGCTTCGAAGTGTCGCCGAGAGGTCAATTGTTACGGAGAGAATATTAGGGATTATAAATGAGGGATTCTCGAATTGACAACACCCCAAGCTGAAGAATGGACTCTTCTAGGCGTCGCAATAGGTCACTTGCGGATACCAAAAATCCCTCGACGACACCTCGAGCACGTGAACACCTCAACTCGTTGCAACTGCAGTTGGTCGGAAATTTTCAGGCACTTATTTATACAATACAACGGCCAACCTTAAATCGACCTCGACGCTAAAAGCAAAGAAAAAGTCCGACCTTGGCAGTGCAGGAAGAGCTGGACCAGCTGCAGTTGCAACTGAACAGGTGTCGCGGTTCCTACCTAAGGACACTTACAAATAAGGAATATCCTACTCTCTAGAATCGCGTTCGAACTTAAGGTGTTATCAGTAAGTAAGGTCCTGTGCGTATCTCTTCAGGGTCTCCAATCCTCTCATTTCTCCTCGTAGCGGAAGGTCTTGGTGTTGGACTCCTGGCGACTGGTCGTGGTGGTGGTGATGGTCTTCTTCTCGGTGACTTTCTGCATCATGGACTGCTTCAGCATCCTCTGTTCGAGGGTCTCGTTGTCCAGCGCCCTGAAGGTGGAGAGGTCGTTGCACCCCGAAGAGCTGAACTCCTTGGTCTCCTCGGAGGAGGACTCGAAGTTGGAGTTGGACTTGCCGAGGGGGGTCGAGGTGTAAACCCTGGTGGTGATGGTCTCGACCCTCCCCGTGGGTGTGACCTTGGTCTCGACATTTTTCGAGGTCTGGGTCTGCGGAATCCCAGGAGACGCCGTTCTCCTTAGGTCGCCGGGCTTGGGGTCTGACCTGAAAGTGCTCAGAGCAGGACTCGGCAAGGACACCCTGACCTGGTCCTGGTCCTTCGGGGAGTATCTCTGCTGCTCGAAACCCCTCTCCTCGGAGTAATAATCGTTGGGCCCCGAGAGCTGATCCTGAGGAGGGTACTCGGAGTCCTGAAGTCCTGGTCCCCCGTAGTGGCCCTCGTAGCTCTCTCGGTTGATCTTCCTCTCGATGGAGCTGTACTGTCCAGGACACGAGTCCTCGGTCCGGAAAGCCACGGACCTCTCCCCAGGAACGTACGGCCTGAAATTAAACGACACTTAGTGAACTCCACCCTCTTCTGCGAGGTCTTCGACGACTCTACTATACGCATTATTCAAGTAGAGGTCAACGTCACTTTTCCTCGTCCTGGACGCACCTCCTGCCATCAAGGGAGCCATATTGATGTTCCACCGCGTTGTAGCGATACCTGTCGTCCTTCATCCTCTTCTCCAGGGTGCTCTGCGTGGAGTAGACCTTCTCAGGACTGACGAGTCTTTCGCTCCTATCCTGGTAGTTGTCGACCTGGACCTGACCCGCACCCCTAACGGGAGACCTAGCCCCGGTGACGGAAGTGTTGACGGTGCCGTAGCTCTCGTATCCACTCTGGTCGGCGTCGTTATCAGTGTCTGATAAAAAGGAGGCGTCGGGTCGATTCTTGTACTTGGCTTGGCGAATCGCCGTCAGTCTTCCCCTGGCCTCTTCGAGTTCTCGCTCGATGCGCAGCACCTCCGACCTGGCGTTGATCTCCTGGGCGATTCCGCCGACCATCCTGGTTAAAGTAAACATTTATAAATATTCAGCCCGTACTTCGGTTTCGACACCAGGTACTCTGATAAAGGCTAATGCGCGCCTTCTATGGGAGACTTTCTTTACAGGCTTGTTTTATATTAATTTCACTAGGTATCGATACTATCTTCGATCCATCCTTACCTTCGGTTCAGGATCAAGGACCTGTCCTCTTCCTGCTGGATGGCTTGTTGGGCAGCCCTGACCAGGTTGTCGGTGGCCCTCTTGACGGCGTTACCCGCGGCTTGGAGCCTCTTGGTGCTCTCGCTGTCGGGGTCGGCCTTGACCTTGCATGCCACCAGGAGTTGGGCCGTGCTGCTGGCGACCTGTTTCGCGCTGGATATCAGCTTCTCCTCGGAGCTGACCCCCTGGACCAGGGCGTTTGCAGACTCCACCAGGCTGTGAGTCGCTGCCGCCACCATCCTAGCCGCGGAGATCAGACCTTCCGACCACTGGCCGTCGTCGGAGCTCGTCAATGGAGTCCTCGACACCTTCCCCGTGGCTATCAACTCCCTCTGTGCGGCACTCGCCGCCTTGATGAGTGCAGAAGTCGCCGCGGCGATGGACTTTGCGGCCTCCAGGATCATCTCGTCGAAGTTCATGTCCTCCGTCGTTTCCTGGATGATCAACGAAAATATTAATTTCTGGTTAAAAATCGGTAATAGGGAGTACTGTTCCAGAGGAAGAGCGCAATGGTACCAGTCCCCTCACCTGGACGCTCCTCCTAGGTCTCAAGCTAGCCAGCTTCTTGGCAGCAGCATCGATGCTAGCAGCAGCTCCTAGGAGTTCGTTCTCAGCAATGACGGTGGGGTCGTCAGGGTCAACCCAATCGGTGCCCTTCAGCAACTCGGCGACGGCGACGAGCTCGGTGACGCTCTGAGCTATTTTCCTGGAGATAGGAGGCAAGGTGTGCTTGGCCAGGTCACCGCCAGGTCTGGAGGCGATCTGCAAAATGGCCTGGAGGAGTTCCCTATAGTTGAGGGCGACGTCGTGTCCAGCTTGCAGGGTCCTGACCCTGAGTTCCTCGGTCTCCGCACATGCGTGGGCGGCGCCCTTGCAGATGGTGAGCATGTCGCTGATGGCCTTCCTGCCCATGTTGGCGGCGGCGATGATGTCGTCCTGTTTGCAGCTGTTCCCGGCAGCAACGGCCTTGGCGGTGGCCGTGGTGATGCTCTTCGTGCACCGCACGAGGTCCTCCGGGGTGACGTTGGCCCGCTGGTTCTCGGCGGAGCTCAAACCCCGGATTTCCTGGCCGATGGCTTCGATGGTCGACTCCAGGGCCCTGGTACCTCGGGCATGTTCATCCTCCACGGCCTTGACGGTCTTCAGCAACGACGTCACGTTGGTCACCATCACCTGGGGAGAGTTTAGAAGAAATTAGCCCCGGAGGTCCTGGACAACTTCCAATCTGGCGACTACTGCTACCGCGTTCCATGGCCTCCTCGGGGAAGGTTCCTCTACGGGAGGAACCTTCCCCGAGAGTGCGATTAGTGCCAAGAAAGGGGAAAAAAAAATTGCCACGTTCGACGGGGATTTCTGGCCAAGCTAGATCATCCTCGGAGCTTGGATTCCCAACCGGGGCCAGGGTCCTGGAAAGAAGCGAGCCCGTCGACTGGTCGGGGTAGACGAAAATGGTCGCTTGGAAAAGTGGAGAACATTTGGCGAACGCCTGGAGAACGCTTGGAAACGCGGAGAACATTTGGCGAACACCTGGAGAACGCTTGGAAAAAGTGGAGAACATTTGGAAATCAATTGGAGAAGATTTGGAAATCAATTGGAGAACACTTGTAGATCATTCGGGGAACACTTGAAGCTCGGAACGAACGGAGTACACCTGGAGAAGACTTAGGAACAGAACTAGAAGAGCTCGAGTAACATTTGAAAAGCACTAGGAGAACATTCAGGGAACACTTGGGGAACGCCTGGCAGCCTTCCTCTCCGACGAGGGAACGGTCTCGAGGCATTGCGGATAAATTCTAGGACACTTGCAGGATCCCGAGGGAGACGACTCGACCTTTTGCGGATGCTGAAGCGACCGATGGGTGCCGTTAGTCACAAAACTAGGATCTCCAGTTAGCACGGCACACTAAATGATGTCAATGCGAGAGAGTACGTACCCGAGGAAACCTGTGCACCGGACGCGTCGTCGCTGAAGAACATTCTCAACTGGTCGAAAGGACTTAGGGACATTCTCGAAGTGACCCGGGCTCGGCGACCCTCCGGTTAAGTTCCAAATTAACAAAAACCGACCGGGGTTAATTCTCGGGCTCGGTGGAAGCGGTAAATGAGTCTTAGGGTGGAAGCGCGATGACGAAGACGATGACGAAGACGCGAGCTGGCCAGGGCGAGGGGAAGAGAGCGGATTCGCTCTCGACCGGGATGCCACGAAATTCCGGAGATATTTCAAGACGTTTCGATAAAGACAATTAATTTTTAACGCCTCTTCGCCTATCGAGATTTACAACACGAACGCGAAGGCCATAAGGAAGGTCCCGACGCCCATGGGAGTCCATCGTGTATAAAAATAATTAAAAATGTCGGTAATAAAATTTTTTAAACATTTAAATGTCACGTCGGGACCTTCCTTATAGCCTCCGCATTCGGGTTGTAAAATTTGATACGATTCGGTAAATCCAATTGGGACAAAAGTATGATAAACGAGACCTCTGAGGGCACTTCCGCATCGCCTTGAGTAGTACACTTAGAGACTAAAGGGAAATTATTTCTAGCTCTCGTAACGCCTCGGTTAGGCCCTTAACGTCTTGACCGAGTTCCTGAGACGTCGTGAAATATTTCCGGGATAATTTCGGGACATCAGGGTAGCCGAATCGAGGGGCTAGACCAGTAGCAAGAGGTCGGTGGTCCTTTGGCTGGGCTGGCTGCTCTCGGAGACGGAGAGCAGACGGATCAGTTCCTCTTCTTGGTCGGAGACGAGCCACTCGGAGTCGCTCGAGGGTGCGAATTGTTCCTGAAGCCGCTGCTCTAACACCTGTCAGGACCGCCCGGGGCCACAAGACTCATGTCAGAATCGTTCATTACAGGCAGATCGGCGACAAGACGCGGCCTCTCTCTTGTCGAAGCGAGACCCCGAAGATAGCCGCCCTGAAGAGGCGCGAGCCGGCACATTGACGAAGAGCTTGCCCGATTGGCTTCTTTTCCATAACCGAAGACGTGGGAATCGACTCGCCACCCTCGAAGAGGGAAAGAGGAGGTCTTTTGACCCCCTCATTCTGACGCCAGGTCGTTTCGACGCCGCCATCTTGTCGCCGCGACTTCAACGCCAGTTAATAATAAATCATACTTATAGAGAACAATTGAAAGAAAAATAGAAAATTAAACAGTTAACAGTGGAACTTAGCTAATCGATAAAAAGAAAAGAGAAACATTAGCCCCCCCAGTTATGCCATTTAAAGATAAATATTAACTGGCGTCCAAGTGGCGGCATAAAAATGGCGGCGTTGGTGTTAACTGGCGTTAAAGTAACACCGTCAAAATGGTGGCGTTGATACGACAGAGTCGAAGTGATGCGAACCGGAAGAGCGACCGGGATCCAGGATTAGTGGTTAAAACGCAGGGTGACTTCAGGCCGGGGTCCAGGTCGACGAGTCAGGGGCGCGCTCCTTTCTAGGAGCGGCTGGTTAATGATTTTAGTCACTGCAACTTGTCTCAAGGTCACGCTGAGAGTCTCTTCGACCCCGAGGAGCCTACCTTGGCGGAGTCCTTCAGGTGCGCCATGCTGGGGTCGTTGATGGGCTTTCCACTTGCAGCTTTCGTTGCATGGATCAGGTCACCCAGGGCCGAGGCCACGTCTTTCACGGCGTTGATCAGCATCACCTGGATTGCAAAAGATATCCCCAATACACTGTGCACAGTATTTATGAAAATTACACACAGTGAATCCGAAGACTCCGAGGAAGGTCCTAACACCCATGAAATTATCTAAACAATTATTTTTATAGACAACTTTTCATGGAGAACGAAATTCCACGGACGTCGGGACCTTCTTCAGGGTCTTCGTAATCACGTGGAAGATGTTCAAACCGCTAAGGACAGTTCCTAACAACCTGCGCTTCAGGGTTGTGGCTGCCGAGACTTGCAGCTCCATATTTGACGACCTCCGCCAGCTGGACGATCGTCGACACCGCATTTTGAGCAGCAACTGCGAGTTGTTCCTGAGAGGATGCCGCCCCAGCAACCAGGGTCTTGGTGTCCTCGACGAGTGCCTTGGCGGTCTTCAGGATGTTCTCCCTGTGGTCAGCGAAGGTGTCGTCCTCGTTCTCGGCGTGCAGGGTACCAGCAGTGGCGAACATGATGGTCGTGTCCAGGTCGCCGATTATGCCCGAGACGGTGCTGGCGGCATTGATGCACGCCTGGGTTCCTCTGGACCCAGCCTGAAGAGCAGCCAACACCTGGGACACCTTCTCGGTGACGGCCCTGCTGTTCTCCGCGACCTCTCTCTGAGCATACGCATCCCCGGGTGACATTTGGCAGGTGCCGGCAGACCGCACGATGTCAACGCAAACTCGACCCAGTTCCTGGACCCCGGAGCGCAACCTTGAAGAAGTCGACGAAGTCGAATTGAGTTTCACTTAACCGAATTCTAAAAAAATCATGGATTATAATCCTCCACCAGAAATCACGATTTTCATCAACCCTGTCAAATAAAAAAATATGGCAGACCTTGAAGAGACGTCAGCATTGGAGGCGGCAGCGGAAGCACCGCATGCGTCTCTCGCCAATTGTGTGTATTTATGCGAAATGTCCACCGCCAAAGGCCCCAGCCTCCCGACGTCGGTGCTGGACTTCGTCGACTGGAACATAAATCCCCATTGACATCCCCTAAAAAAGAAGCTAGATCAAAGCCCGAAAATCTTGAAGAACCCTCACCATCTCCTGAGCAAGCCTAGCGATCTCCTTGGCAGCCTCGACCATCCTGGTCTGATAATCAACGTAGGAGTCCACGGTGTCGATAGTGGAGCTCCTTCTGTCTTCCAGCCTCACCATAGCCCTAGATATGGTATCAATCAGCCCGGTAACGATGCCACTGGAGGTGGAAATGCTCTCCAGGGTGTTCTGGAGTTCCTGAAGAGCATCCCTGGTAGACTCGACCATCTCGTCGACCTCGGCATGAAGATTAACCGCCTTAGGATTGCCAGCGCTCTCCTTGGTGACATAGACAAGCTGAAGAGCGGATTCTGCAACGGTCTTGGTCTGGTCCAGGAGGATCATCTGCTGCTTGGAGTGCACCATGTTGGAGGCCGCTCCAACGGCTCCGGAAACCAACGGCGCGCAATATTGAGCGACCTGGTTAACGGCATGACCGACATGTTCGGCTTCATATTTCGCAGCGGTCCTCAGGGGCTCCAGCTTCTCTCTGAGCTCGTTGGCGCTGCTCTCCATCTGGTCGGTGAACCCTTGGATGGTGTTCTCTCTCCTAGGGAGGAGAGCCTGCGAGACCGCGGCCAAGGACGCCGAGTCCAGCTCCCTGATCCTGGCGGACAGCTTCTCTATGGCCTCGTCGCACTCCTTCTGACCCGGGGCTTTGTCCCTGATGGAGGCCACCAAGGCCTTGATGGAGTCGCTGACGCTTTTGCTGTGGTTCGCCAGGAGCTGCCAGGTCGGAGGGTCCTTGGGACTGACGGCCAGGCTTTTTGCCGCCTGCACCATCGCGCAGGACCCGTCTATGATCGCTCTTCCTGCCGCCAGGATCGGTTCCTGGGCAGCTCTTGCCGTTAATGAGATCTTCGCGGGCTGGCTCGTGAACTCCGGGGAACAGGCGAAGGTGCAGAGGTCGTCGACCGCGTGCAGAAGGGGCTTCGTCGCCTCGGCGCAGCGCTCTCGGTTCGTCGGCGAGTAGTCCTGGTCCAGGGCTTTTATCTCCTTGACGAGGCTCGCCGTCGAGTTTGCCACGTCCTTCGCTGATTGCACGAAGTGCCTTTTCGCTACCGGGTTGCTGGTCTTGCTGGATGCTAGTCTGCAAGCGTTGCAGAGGGCGCTCGTGTGCTTGGCTATGCTCGTCGCTGCCGAGAGGACCTGCTGCTGGGTGCTCGTCGGGTTCCCCAGGCTCTGGCAACCTGCGTGGATGGCTTGCGCCGCTCGAAGGAACTGGGCTTGGTCCACTAGACCTGGAGGAATAACAAAATCGATTGGTACTCATGAAAACATAAAGAGGGCGTACCAACAAAAGTTGAATTTTTTTCCCCTAAAAAATATATACAAATTTTTATGCGTTTCACGTAATTTTCAAGTGATACGTCAGACTTCATCCACCCTCTTAAAGTGTCTTTCGAGTTTTGATATTAGGGTTTTCCAAAAAAAAGTGCAGCCATTACCTGGCTTCCCAGCAACCGAGCTTGGCTCGCTGACTCCGGCCAGGTAAGCCGCCTGTGCAGCAGCCTCGACGAGTCCACAGATAGACGAAGAGACGCCTCTAACAGCCACTGAGAACTGCTCGTGCTCGGACCTTTTGGCATGGTTGGCGATCCCGGTCATGCCATCCCCTAGGCTCATGCTCTTCTCCATGACCGTGTCGAGACATTCGAAATAAGAAGCGTCGGAGACGGGCTCGCTGGGGTTCTCTAGCAGCGACCTCATGGACTGGATGTTCCTGATGGCGTTGTCGCACTCGTTCTGTCCAGGTGCCGCGGACGTGCAGACGTCGATGAGGTAGTTGATGGAGTCGGTGACGGCACGAGCCGCGGCGGAAAGCTGATTCTTCGCGTTGGGGGCGTTGGGATCGGCAGCGACCGACTTGGCAGTGACCAAGAGCTTGCTGGAGGTCATGCTAACGTTCTTCAGGGACACCACCATCTGGGTCCTCGTCGTCTCCACCGAGGTCTGACCGGCCATTTCCATGCCGACCCCCAGGAGGTTACCAAAGGCGTCGGTCAGCTGTTTGGATGAGCTCGCAAGTTGGACCGGAGATCGGACCGAGGTAACCACGTTGGAGGAGGCGTCGTTCAGATGTGCGGCAGCGTCCCCAAGGTCGTGCTGAAGTTGCCTGAATTGAGAATAGGATATAGATTTAAGGAAACGAGACGGTAGAAGTTCCACCCCAACCCAAAACGTGGTTCCCTACCCGAAGCTCTTGTTCGTCTGCGGGAACTCGTTGTTGGCGAGGACCTGGCTCATGTCATCGATGCTCCTGATGGCATCGTCGACGTCCTTCTGCCCAGGAAGACAGGAGACGCATCTGTCAAGGGAGACCGAGACATCCCTAGCAACAGCGGCGAGGTTGGCCTCGTTTCCAGGATGATCCGGGTTCTCCAGAGCTCTCCTAGCCTCCTTAACCAGCCTGACCGACCTGAGGATGACCTCTTCGGCAGTGGCCAAGACCTTCTTCTGGGTGTCTGGGGAGGTCTTCGAGGTGGCGGCGACTCCACGCACGGCAGAGGTAAGATCCTTCAAGGCAGAAGCGGTCTCTCTGGCGGCACTTCCCGTATAATTCTCGTTCCCCTGCCTGGCAGCGGACAAGAGCTGCGCCATGGCGAAGCCGACGCTCTTCGAGGTCGACCCCACCCTGAGAGCGGTGGACTCGATCGTCTCCCCTGGGAGCGGCTTCAGGGTAGCCGCCTCCACCGCCCTATGGAACTCCCTCAACTCATCCCTGAGACTGTCTATCAGCTCTTCGGCAACGTCCAGCTCGAGTCCTCCGCAGGCCTCTCTAGCCCTGGTGACGGCCGACCGGAGGTCGGCTAGACACGACCCCAGCTGCTGGGAGCTCTCATTGAGCTGCATCGCCGAAGCCTGATCGGTAACCGTTGGCAAGACCGCCCTGGCGGCCTTGACGACCGAACTCCCCGGTTGCAGGAACTGCTCCGAGGCGTTTATCAGGCTCAGCTGAGCCGCAGCGTCGTCAGGGTGGGCCAGGGTACCTTTGACCCCTGCCACCAGCTGCGGAATTCGCTGCCCCATCGCCCGACATTCCGCATTCAGCTCTTCCTGGCTCTGAGGGTTCGCATTGTGCTGCCCGGTTCCTGAAGATGCCGCTATGCACTGCGTAGCCGTCGATGCTGCCTGTTTCGCGCAGACCTCTAATCTGCCGATTAATTTTCTCCTGAGTGCTGGAGTAGCCGCAACCGTCGTAGCTGCTCGCAGCTCTTCGGCTGCTTGTCGAAGCTGATCTTGCATACGTGCATCGTGGGGACTGCTGGCGCATTGACGAGCGGCCTCCACCATTTTCGCAGTCGCGTCCGCTAACATCTTCGCCGCCGCCAGCAGGCGGCGCTGCTGTTCCGTGTCCGTTTGCCTCTCAGCTTCGCCCTGAAACGAGGAGTACCGGGTTAGGGTGGTTATTATTTAGTGCTGGGAATTTAAGATGATTAACCGGTGTTAGAAATTGAAATGAGCGCTGTAGCGGTACATTTCTTTTTTAATATATAGATTATTGTCAACGGTGGCGCACCTTGATGTTCTGAATCAGCTGAGCCGTGGCCTGGCCGACGACCCTAGCCTGGCGGACCATCTCGCCGGCATCCCCGGTGCTGGCGAAGAGCTTGTCGGTCGCGACGAGGATGGTCTCGACGGCACCCTCTTGCACGGTCTCCTTGGCGCGCTCCGCCCTGGTGGCGGTCCTGATGTGGTTCAGCAAGTCGTTCAGGGTCCTGCTGACCTCGGCCGCGGCGGCGCCCAGCTCCTTCAGCAGGTTCTCGTCCCCGCAGACCTCGTTGCAGGTCTGGACGAGCGCCTCCACCGCCCTGGTGACCTCCCTGACGGCGTTCATCAGCTGAGTCTGGCAAGCCGGAGAGTGCAGGGTCGGGGCCACGACCTTGGCACACGCCACCAGCTGGGACGTCGCCAGGGCGCACTGGGTCGCCGCGGAGATGACCCGATTCTGGGTGTCGGAGTCCTCGCAAGTCGCCGCGATGTTCTTCGCCTTAAGGACGAGGGCGGCCGTCGTGTTCCCGACTGCCTTGGCCAGGGCCAGCAGCATGTCCTGGAGCTCGCGACTGGAATCGTTCTCCTCGCCGATGGTGGTCAGCACCTGGTGCGATGCCTCACCCACCCTCGACGCTGCGTTCAGCAGGTTCTGCCTCGGCTGGAAAGAGGAAGAGTCTTGATTAATTTCATCATTAATTAATGGTAAAACCTATGACCGAGATAGGCGTAAGGCCTATGTCGTTAGATGACGACTGGAATAAGCGACTAGTGCTGCGCTTCTAATCAACGCTCAAAGATACAGGAAAGTGGATTATAAAATTGGAGCCGCTTCCTGGGACAAAACTGACAACAAGCTACCACATTGACACTACCGGCGACTATTGTACACCGAACCATAAAGGTAAGTCTGCTCACGTATTGTCCGTACAAGGTGGAGGTTATATAGAAAGGCTGCAGAGAAAAGCACCTGGTGAGATCCAAGGGGCTTGGACAATTTGTTAAACTGCGTTATCAATTTCAAACCCCCTTCCCTCGGGAATATCTCTACGAGTTGTTATCACGACCAGCTAAAGACCAGCGATTTAAAGTCCAGAATAAGGATCCCAGACCCTCACCTCCTTGGTCTCCGGCTCGGTGGCCTTGAGGAGGTCCGAGAACGCGGAGCAGAGTTTCCTGGCGGCGTCCAGGAGTCTGTCCCCGGAGTTCTCGTCCTCCATTAGAGCGGCAATCATCCTGACCCCCTTCGTCATCTCCGGCAGGTTGGTGGCGATGGTCGTGATGGCTGCCCCGACCGCGGTGTGGTCCACGTCGTCGGCAGGTCCGGAAGTCAGGGTCACCACCTGAGCCGTTGCCGCGTTCATGGCAGCTATTTGCGACCCCACGCTCTGCTTGTGCGTGTCGATGGTCTGCTCGATCCACTTCAAGGATGCCGGGTCGGAGCCCAGCTCCGGGAGCTGCACCTTCGTCGTCAGCTCCACCTCCGCTGTCTGGATCACCTCGTGGCCGGCCGTGATTGTCGATAACAACGCTCGCTGCGGCTCCGACATCACCGACGTCACCTTGGTCTGCTGCACCTGGTGATGTTTAGGTATTAATTAATATTTCACGTTCCAGGTAAGCACTGGAATGCTAACACGGTTTAAAAAATCACATAAATGTAAATACTCAGTGCCGTATCGTTACACATCGTGTGATATTAAATAAGGATGGACAAGTTCTTAAGTACAGAGCCAACACTTTTTCTCCTTCTTTTTTTTAAATTCCTTTTCATGGAATAAATTTCAAAGTCCCACTCTGGAAAATACAATTTCTGATTATAAGTTAGGAAAAGAAATTAAACGAAATTTCGGAAAAACGAAACAAAAAAAAAGACACTTTTTTATTTTCAAACTTTAGGAAGAAAAGAAAGATTGGAAAATAGGCTCCGTACTAAGGGTGAAAAAAAAAAAAAGAAAAAGAGGAAAAGTTTTCATCACAGGCACTAGAGTCTAGATGAAGGTTTAGTGCCTTCGCCGATGTGACACGTGGAAGTCAGCTGATATTTTGACAGCTGTCAAAAACGGAGTCGTGCGAACGGAGGCTCTACCATGCGTGCTCATAGGGAAGTCGTGCATCACATTGTCAGGTAAATGTTTAGATATTTTCTCATTCTTACCCCCAGAGAGAAAGAAAAAGAAAAAAAAAATCTAGAGACCAGATTCGTCCAAGAGTCTCGAAACAACGAAGAGTCAACGAAACAACGACGTACACAGTGAAGACAATGAGAACGAAGAAAGAAAACGAATCGACATAAAGTGCGGAAAGAAGCTCGTCATAATGTCCTCGATAATCTAAAAGAATTAACGAAACCGAATACCGAAGTCAACGAATCACAGAAACGTAGGATAAGAAGAGTTGATCCTGGTGTACCTACTCTGTGTCCGTAAAGGAGGGCGCCTAGCATGAAAATAAATCCAAATACAGTCCATTAGCTCGTTATCGGTCTGCCTCTTACGAGTCGTTAATTAATCATTTCACTTAGAAAAGCTCATCCGGCAAAGCTACGAAACGGTACGTCGGTCGCTGCGATCCATAATATCTATCATAAAATCTAGTCTACGTCTAAGCCTCGACAATTCGCTCCGTCGATGATTGTTCAACGTATTGATAAAAATACCTTCGTAAATGTACCCAATGGTCAGCCGAATAAATTCCAAAAAGCGAGAAAAAAAAAAAGTAAGACATTTCATTCAAGTAAAATCTATCCCAACGCGAACCAACATACCTTACCGGAATATTAATAAATCCTCCAATTTGTATTTTTACATCCATGCGAAACTTCTATTACGAGGCGTATAAATAAATCTCCCTTAATTAACATGGATCCTTATCGGTGCAAGGTTTCTAATTTACGTATCAATTAGCAGGGAATCTTTGTGAGAAAAAACTCTGGTCACCCGGACAAGTGGCTTGACCATTTGCAATGGGTTGGGTATGTTGGTTAAAAACAATGTATACGTATTTTTAGATATGTTGGTTAAAAACAATGTATACGTATTTTTTTTTTTTTTTTTTTAATCGAACAATCACGTGCGGAGCGAGTTGTCCCTCTATCTCGAGGCCTTACCATTGGAGGAGCATGGGCGATGTTGACTTGTCCACTGATGGTTGTATATTGTGCTCCTGCCATGTGCCCAGTTCCATACGGCCGAGCCCCTACAAATGTTATCATGCAGTCTAGCCTATCTTCGATCTTAGCGTATTTACAGTTGCGATAATAAATTTTACAAACGAAAAAAAAACGGGTAATAAACAATGAGAAATCAGATTCGAGGACATCCTCGTCGAACGACCTGGATTATCGTGTATGTACAACACACAGATATCAATATACTAGACATAGACGTACACAGTGAGTTGTTTCCATAAGTTCACGGAGTCACTTTTTTTGCAACGATTTTTTTTCCCCCCAAGATAATTGCATTGTTACTCGAAACTGGCAAGGAGTGACCGATAATCACGGATAATGCATTATTAATCATCACTTATTTAGTTTCGTTGCAAGGGAGAAATTACACCCGAACATCGGATATTTCGGGAACTTATGAACAAGCTCGATACAAGTGTACAAGTGCATACACAAAATATACCACGGGATCGCAAGATTACCGAATGTCCGACCATGCCGAGCTCTCCCTTCAGGTATCGAGTCGTTCCATAAATTAGTGGATAAATTTTGTACAAGGAGATAAGGTGTGATGGGTCATAAAATGGATTACCAATTGATACGGCGTATGTGCAATTTTTAAGCCTCCACAAATTATGGAACAACCCGACACAACGGTGCTAGACATTGCGAGCCCTTCAAAGCACAGAAACTCTGCCCTGGGAATCGGGAGATCTCATTAAGAATCGCAATTTCTCCGAAAAAAAAAATAATTGTGGAATGACGCGTCGGGAAATTTTTCACTTTAGGATTTTTCGATCTCCCGATTCCAGACAACGAAGGAGAAGGGAACTCTTCGAGGGTCTTACCATCTCCTCCGACTCGCATGACAGCAGGAATCGCGACAGAAACGGCTTCCACGTTTCCTTTGCCAACGTTGCTGGTCTCGTGTTGCATGATGGTCGCCCTGAGTAAGAATAAATATTGTTAATAAACGGAGAAATAAAGTCATAGGAGGCTGATTCCTACTCTTGTCGCTGCCTCCTAAGAAACGCTTCCATGAGGAGATGGAACCAAATCCCGCCTTAGGATCGAGTTAAACTAAAAGTAGAAGATGACGAAGACCCTCTGCTCCTACCAGCACCGAGCCATTCGCTAACGAATCGTTAATTGGGATTATTGATCATGTTAAATGAGGACCTAGCCAGGAGGCAACAACAGAGCTGAATCACGCGTAATTCCAGAGTGTAATTACTGCAAAGCGTATTTAAAGTGTGTTATGAACGTGAAAAAAATTTATACGCTTTCAGAAATTAATCAAATAATCGTGGAGACATAAACCACGGGTAATTGATTTGCTTTTCGAACGTACTTCAAAGGAGAGACGCTGTCTTCGACCATGGTCGAGCCTTCGTCGCCCTCGATGCCGAAGTGGTCCTTCGCCTTCTGCTTCTTCAGGATGATGTCGATGTATCCGGCGATAAGCTGAAGGATCTGCTCCGCCTCCGTCGTCTGCACGCTGTAGTACTGATCGGAGTAATCCCCGAAGTCGAGGGTGAAGGTATTCGGCGAGGCTCCCCACCTTCTGACCGTCGTCAGGGGCCAGGTCTTCAGGATCTCCTTCGTCTTCTCGTCGAGTCGCAGGACGGAGTCCTTAGTGACGCCAAGGAGTCGCGGCACGAGCTTGTTCTTCCCCTTCATCTTCTCCTTCACCAGGAAGAAGGTGACCCCGTAAGTGCTCAGGGATCTCGCCGTCTTCGTGTAGAGGACTTTCGCGTCCAATTCGGAAAGGCCGACGTGCTTTTTATGCTCGGCGAAGACCTTCTTCTCGATGCCCTTCACCTTGACGTAGGACTGCGGCAGGAACTCCTTCAGACTATAAATATAAATTAATGATTTCAACGATTAATTTCAAGACAACGATGCCACGGAGTATGTATATTAAATGCAATTATAAATATACAAGTTAATTTAATGGAACAACCCTTGACCCAGAGAAAGGACTCACTCCAGGAACCCGGGTTTGTGTTTGTCCTCCTTGTGGTCGCCGAACTGAATCTGGCATTGAATCCCGGCGAAGGTGCAAGCCTTCTCCTGGGTGACAGGATGCGTGCCGTCCAGGATCGCGTCCCTAGCCTGGACGTAGAGGAGCGAGAGCTGTACAGGATCTCTACTGTCGATATTCTGATCGGAGAAGAAGAATTTCCGACGAAGCAAAACGGTTTCGGACTCGTCAATGCCCTGTTCGCGAAGCGTCTTGCTGGGATCGATCCAGTTAACTAGAGGAAATACCAAAGAACAATTAATTAAAACAGATAATTAGGAAACGATCCGTTCATAAATACCCCCACAAGACATGGGGGTTAAAGAGAAAAAATTAAATAAAAGAAAAAAGGGCCTTGCTTTGCCTCCTCACCTTCGTCGTCCGTCTTCAGTTTCTTCCTCAGCTGGTCCATCTTCGCGTCCCTCTCGACCTTCTCCTCCTTCTTCCTCTTGAGAGTGAGCGTGCCAAAATTGGCAGGCTTTTGATTTTCGGTCTCCTCGTCGACGAGCTCGCGCACCAGGGAGTACTCGTCGTGATTCGTGATTCCGATTTTCGTGCAGATCACTACCATGAGATTCGCCACCGGTTGGCTGTCGTCGACCAGCAACGTCTTCAAGGTGCCGTCGAGCATCCTGACTCGGAGAGTCCTCAGTTTCCTCCTATATTCCAGGAGATCGCCGTTCCTCAGGATGTAGTAGTCGAGGTTTCGTCCTGGCTCCAGCCAGACGCCTTTCTTCGCGTCCTCGTCGGACAAGAAGAGTCCGTAATCCTTTGCTGAAATTGCAGGAAGAAAATTCATGATAAACGTCTCAACCCAATAATTCCCCCTAATCCCGGATGATTTTTACTGTCTAAAAAAAAAATTTTTTTCCTATATATACAAAGTGATCAACGGCAAATAAGCGCCAGGGAAAGTATTTCAGGAAAATTGACAAGGATGCGAACATCCTGAACAGCCGAGCGGTATGGAGATAAGAGATGAGCTAATCAGAAATATGAAGTGTCTGGTTTTCGGGTATTTTTAGCGCGAGTTCTAGAGCGAAACCAGGAGGCTCTAGTTCTCGCTTCGTCGTTCCATAACTTCGAGGACAAATCGTTAAAGGCTCTAATATACATATTCCTTTGCAGCGAAACGGATCACGTATATGTATTAAAAATACCACGTGTATTTATTAATAATTCCCTGGGGCGACGAGATGACTTCTTGCCTTCTATCTTTTTGTTTTTCATTCTTACACAAGCACGGGAATATCTCCAAAGAGAATTTATTCCATAAACGATTTGTCCATGAAGATTTTGGATTAAATTAAAACATCGGACACTAACGTTGTCCCATATTGCTCGCTTCGGCGAGTTTTTCCCTGATGATACGACAGGCATCGTAGACAGACGTGCTCGGGTCGAACTGCATCATCTTCGTGGCGTTTTTCTCCGGGATGGAGATTCGCAGAGACAAGGTAGCCATGATAACGAGGAACGATAGTCAGGGGCAGCAAAGATCTCTCGAGTAGCTCGACTGAAATATAAAAGAAAAAACCATGTCCTTTACTAAAATAATTCCGTATCCAATAAAAGTATAAAAATATTAAACGTAAATAAATCCCTTCCACAGATTAGTTCTTACTTACTCTACGTACAAATCATACATAATTCCCATATCATACGAATGAACCGATACTCCCATAAATTAACAGGCTCGACATAGCCAAGATTTAACATCCCAATGTCTACTCTGAACTTATTCATTAATAATAAAATGCATATATTTAATAACAAAGGACAGGAATCCCTCACCTCGAGTCGTGTCGTTTCTCCTCCTCTAGGTAAGCGTAAATTCGTTCGTTAAATCCTTTCGCGTTATCACTTCACGCCTTCTGTAATAGAAAAAGGTGTGGGTTAAAACCAGGGTGAAAAACTGGGGGGAGTGTGTAAACGCGCAAAAAGAAAGTGAGGGTGGAGGCGCCGCGACGTCCTGGCGCCGCTCAGGGCGGGATAACTCGAGGAGACGAGAGGGGAGCGGAGAAAATCCCAGGGATCCTCTCTCGGCATCTCTCAATTCGAGCACGGCTCCTCCACGTTTACCATGTTTCTCTTCCTTTTTTTTTTTTTTTTTCAGGCCGGTGACGAAACCGATTAGCGCACGCGCATACGCATCATCGTTCGTAATAACGAGCGAGTCAGCACACCTCTTCCAAGTAACGCAACGCCCCCCGATAAAAGGCATTACTGACGAATTCGATTAAACGACCTCCCTTGACCGAATTAAACGAACAAGACATGTCTAAGGAGGTCCCTAAAAATTAAGGAAGCAGGAATTTTACATTAAAAGAATCCTTAAGGGTCCTCTACGGGCGCATGATAAAATGTTAGGATGTTTACAAATGCTTACGTTAGGAATTTTATGTTTTTAATTTTCATGTGAAGAATTCTTGATCGTTGGTATTATGAATTAATTCGTTGAGATGGGACTATATGTAGGATGGAATGAGAGGTTCGCTTCGGAGCGAATATGCAAATGGAAAAAGATATGACGTCATGTTCTATAAAGGAGTCTACTTGGTGTGTAAACGATTTAGCAAGGCGATCAGCTGAGCGAATCGCGACCGAAGAAATTCATTGAGCGTTCCGAAGATCGGCCTTATTAGAATAAATGGGCGAGGAGTCACGGAGGCGCGTAAACACTCGTAAAGCCGCTCGTTACCCTCCTCGAGTACTCGTGACTCGAGAGTGGGGACACTTCGTGTCTCTCCTCTCTAGTGTGTTGCTTACATATACGACTCTCTATTTCTGTGAGAGCGCACCCGCGCGATTCCTCTATTTATAAAGCTGGAGACCGGAACTTTACTTTCCGTTTCACGGATCCAGCCTTCCGAAGGACTGGGGAGAGTTCGTTCCTCTCACGAATTATAATGCCGAGTCCGTCCCAACAGCTTCCTCTTCTGGTCCCTTAGTCCGGGGATCGATTACCCTATGCTTGTCTGCGTCGCCAGTTATGACGTCTGTGATCGTTCCATCCTGTACTTTTCCTTTCCACACTCTTTGCCTCCCCGATGTTTGTAGTACTTCTTCGTGCTTCCTGACTCCCAGGTTCGAATACGAGATGACGTGTGCCGATATTTTGGTATAGTGATCGAAACAGTCGTACCCTATTTCCGTTCTTCTCCTGGTCTCCCTACGGTTCGTTTTGCAACCGTGAACTGTCTGAAAAAATTAATTACACGCAAGATATTGTCCTAACATAAATTCAGAAACGAGAACCTCGACTCGAGAGTACACTCGTCAAGGAAAACCAATTCCAGCCTTTGACGCAAGGTCTTCCCTAAACCCAAACCCTGCGTAGGCGTTGAGCTTCCGTCTCGAGGGAAGTTCCCCTCCGAGTAAAGTAAAAATAAACGCCAAGAGCCAGGCGTGTCTTCCGTCCATCAAGACCACCGATCCCTGGGTCATGTTTACAGTTCTAAATCCCAGGACGAACCTACCTAGGTGCGGAACTCCAAAAAGAGTACTCGGACAACAAAACCTAGACTGATACCAAAAAACAGCCCTTCGTCCCAGCAGACTCTACAAACCCAAATCTCTCACTCCACCCGCGTCGAATCACACAATCGGGTTAAACTTCACCAAACTGTGAATCATTTCTATTTCTAGTTGCGTGCGTCGCGTGGCCTTCCTCCCGTAGATCGATTTTGAGGTTAGCTGACAATTATCGTACCCCGGGCCCTCGGGTGTTCGAACGACTCGCCTGGAACCTAACCTCGAAGGGCGACGCGGGTGCGACCTCCCCCGGGAGGTGCAAGACCATGGCGCCGGGGCGAGATCTCGAAGACGCACGCCCATCTCTCGAGGGTCGCAAATGTCGCGACCCGTGGTGGAACTTGGAGTAAAAACAACTCGACTCACCTCGCGGAGTGTCCATAGGTGCGAACGAGTCCTCGGGCTCACCGCGGACGCCTCGAGGATGGTCCAAAACGTCACTTTTCGTGCACCGGCGCACCCTCACGATCCACACGTTCCACTGTCCTCGCCACTCCGCACTGACGCGACTGGCGCGCCGCCGCGTTCGACGTTCCCTCGACTCGCCGGTCCTATTCCGTCGTTCCGCCAATCAGCGCGCGCCAGTTGAGTCACGTGACGCGCCGTTCCGCCAATCAGCGCGCGCCAAGCCAGTCACATGACCCGCGCCAGGTTCAAACCCCGTTACCCCAAAACTCGCACCAGTAATAAAAACAGGAATTCTCTTTATTTATAAAAAATTATCAAGAAAAACTAATTAATTAATCCTCGATAAATCTAGTGACCAAATAGAATTTGCTTATAGATTCCCTCTAATGGCGGATTTACGATCTTTGTCGGTTACAGCGGTTTACAAATGCAATGCAGTCTGAATGTCGAACGAGTCTAAATTAAACCAGAGATGGCTTAATTTGTAGAGGATTGATGAATGAATTTAATTAATTTATTTGCTAGTTTTGAAATGCATTGTAATGGTGTAGAGAGCGTAGTAAATAAGCGTGGGCGTTAGCTGTGATCGAACTCCAGTTTCGCTACGCTCTTCTCGTCGTAGACGTGAACGAGCTCCCGAGTTCCTTTCCAGCATTCCGATCGAGGCGATCGCTTTTTGGAGAACTCCGAAAATCGCCGGCCGACTCGACGAGGCCTCGCGACGCACCAAATTTGGTCGTGGCCGGCGCCGCGACGCTCAATGAACGCGAGTAAGCGTGGCTGGAAATTATGTCACGGAGGTTGTCTGCTCTTCAGGGGCGACCCTCCAGCTCGTGAGAATCAAAAATCCCGAAGGATCACCTTCCTCCTTACTTTACAAGATTTAATATAACTACCATCGACAATTAATTTACAAGTACCATTTAAGTCACGCGGATGACTAAGAAATGACATGCATATCATTAAAGACGATAATAGCGACTCGGAAGATTTCATATCGCTATGACCAACTAGATTAAAAAATTCATTTTAGAAATTCAGGCGAGCTCAAGATCCACGGCTTTTGATTTTCACATCAATATTGAATTAACGAAGGAAAAAAAGAATGGACTCATGCAAAATTTCCTTTCTTCCAGGATTTTTATCGCCACGTTCCGAGCAAACCGGCGAGCAGTTTCCTGGGGGACTTTATCGACGAGGAAGCGGTCGTTCGTTTCCTGTCGGTCACACATTAGGAACGAGATACGTCTTTGCGAGTTTCCCTGCACAAACATAACGCATCTGCCTTCTTGCCACTCTTTTTATTAATGTGTATAGGTTTTTTGCACAACCGCACGCTCACATTTAAGAACCAAAAGTCCTCGCAGGGCAAGGACTAGCCGCCCTATCCGCCCTAAAAATCCGCAAACTTGTTGAAGACAAATGTAAATAAATAATTAGAGCCACAGTGTATTAAACAAAAGGGTCAAAGTGTCCAGAATAAATCCCGACTAGGGGAAGGCGAGTTGACGCGCGATCAGCTGATCGCCACCTGGTCGAAAGGAAAGTCGTTTTTCCCAGCACGTGGGCGTCCCTACCGATTCAGAGCAACGAAACGCTCTTACGAAACGCATCCGTTCTTTCTAACCAAACCCGGACATGTCTAACCCACACGAAGACACTTGCAATTTAGAAAAGACAAGTCGAGATCTCCTTTAAGGCCACACGGGAGAACTTTAAATGCCTTCACAGCCTCGCTCGACATGGATTATTCCAACTTGTCGGGATTTCTCGGACGAGGAAAAAGTTCGGCGTTAGTACAACATGTCTTGACTAGGTCTATTGACATTCCCAAGTGACTCCAGATCCTGATCGATGGACTAAAAGGAACGAGGACAGTCAACGAGTCTCAGGTCCACACAGAGAGTGGATTTCCACGTTTGGTTTATTGCTCGACCTTGGCAAATGGCTACCTCGAATCTTGAAATAAAAAATAAATGACTACTCCGTTGCATCCGGCATGAAGTCTTCGATATCCTGGAGGAACTGGCCCACGTGGAGTTCCTCGATAGCGATGCCGAGATCTCCCAGTTCCTGAAAAATGGAGAGAGATAAGTGTCTCAATGCTTCCGGTGGCTACGTCAATTTAAAGGTACTTTGGCTTTGAGTAATTAAAGGCCTTGGCTGTGGTAATTAGTACGAGGGTACTCACGGTATCGGAGGATATACCTAGTGATAAGGTGAAGTGCCCGCCACCGTAATAATATGTTTGATTCCTGGTCGATTATGCACAAACAACCAAGAATATCAAACATATCTGACGGTAGAAGAGACCGGCTTCCTCCGTCGATTAATTCGGACTGTAATTTAATTACCAATTCATTCCAAATTCCATCCTCGACTCATGGAAATATTTTCCCAGTTTCTCCACGACGGAGGACATATTTAACGAGACCGTGGAAAAAGAAAATAATACCCGGGAAAGTGTCATTAATATTTTTCGAGCTTCCTCGAGGCCACTCCCTGGAGGTCTTGACTCCTCAAACTATTCGGTAAACCGAGTTGGGAGAAAAGCTTTATAAACAAAACCTCTTCGACGCCACTTTGACATCACCTTAAGGAGTTACGAAAGGGTCATTCTAAATATATAGGACCCTTTCCACGTCACCTTAAGGAACGACCGGGTAACGAGTAACACATTTTCCGGAGGACGACCCGACGAAGGCATCCAGGTCAGAGGGCAAAGAGGGTGGCTTCGTTATCGGCTTCTAAAACAATGATTAGGCCCAGCGGGTCGGTGTAATCGCCGGCGGTATAAAAGTGGCCAACGAGAAGGGAGGGAAAAGAGAAGAGAAAGAGAAAGAAGAGAATGACGATAGTAGGGACCCCTTCCCCTAAAATTCACACGTCTATTTTCGGTGATCGCGCCACTGGGAACTTACACCCTTCCAGGTTGCCAGGCAACCAGGGACGCCGACTGTGTTAAAACTCGAGCTGGTGCCCTTCCTCTAGATATTCCCGCTCTTGACACGACCGGATCTCCCCGGCAATGTCGTCCCTTTGGCAGCCGACGAGCGACCCTCTCCTTGTGCCATCCTTAGCTTAATTTTCGATGAAAAGGTGCCTTCTCCAAGGGTACCACCAGAGCCCCTTCGTGCCTACAACGAAAGTGGAATATCTTTACTTATAAATTTACAAATTAATAACGTAACTAATCATTGACAACTCTAATATGGGGTTCCATGAGTTTCTAATGGTAGTGAACTTCCCTCTATAGATGATTGCAGGTATAAATAAAACCCGCCAAGAGAGTGAGGATATGTTGTTAATTATTATGTCGCTCGTATGGTTTCGAGAGATTATTTCTGAACCTTGAGACTTATCGGTGGATTTATGGACCTTGTAAGTGAAACGGGAAGTGGGAAAAGCCCAACGAAAGTGACTTCCGGGAGCCAGGTGAAAGAGCGGGAAGGACACCTCGAGGGCTCGAGAAAATAAAAAATAATCGAGAAATCGAAACACGGACTCTAGCTCCCCTTTCCGATAGGGCTCGCCGAGGGCGAAGAGATCGATGGCGAGCTCGTTGGCTAAATTTAGACCAAAGTCACTTCGAAAGGCTCCTTCTCTCTTCCGCGCCTGCTGGAGGTGCGCGACAATCGGGGGCATTGATCGCTCCAGAACCCCCAAAGACGGATTAGCCCTCACCCCAGGATGAAAATCGATCCTTGATCCCGGAACCGACACGAGCTTGCACCCGAAGCTCCCCCGAAAGCGCTCAACAGATTCCCAAGAAATTCCTAAATCTCCAGTTCCCATTTTTATAAACCCGAAAACGTAACATTAATTTCCACGCTAATTGATGAAACTGCTTGCGTAGAAATTGCGCAAAGTGGCTGGACTTTTTGTTAACGCGACTCTCCCTCTTATCCACTCAAGAACCACCCTGGAGACCTGCCCGAATCCCTCGAAGGTTTACCTTGACACTCATTCGGAATCGCCCTCTCCATGGTCGAAAGGTCCTCTTCGTAATCGACGAAGCTCCAAGTGAGTCAACCACGTGACCGACGAAACGTCATCCACGTGGCGATCAGCTGATCGCGCCATGGCGACTCGATGACAGAAAACCGCCGCTGATCCTTTTGACAGCCACATGACAGATGGTCCCACGCTTTGACAGCTGTCAGCCGACCCTGCCACCCCTGGGGAATAAATATAAAAATATGAAACGTCCATCGTACCACTCTCGCAATATTTTTTTTTTCTTAAATTCCATTAAATGTAAATACACAAGTTTCCGTAAAAAAACAGGTACACTAATATCGGATGTCACTTTCGTATAAACATAATCCCGGATACCACGAGGGTGGAGTAAACATTAAAGGCGAACACCCAACACGACGAACTGACAATATACCCCACCACCACCACATTCAAACCTACAAATTGTTTAAACTTCCAAACAATTGGAACGTACAAACGTGGGTAAAAGAAAAGAGAAAAACATGCACTCCGATATCGGATGTCACCTTAATCACCATAATCAGGTATACGAGGGTGGAGTAGATATTGAAGTCGAGCACCACCACCACTTTCAAACCACCTCGATACAAATTGTTTAAACTTCCAAGCAATTGGAACGTACAAATGCGAAAAGAAAAGAGAAGAACATGCACTCCGATATCGGATATCACCTTAATCACCATAATCGGGTATACGAGGGTGGAGTAGATATTAAAGTCGAGCACCACCACCACTTTCAAACCACCTCGATACAAATTGTTTAAACTTCCAAGCAATTGGAACGTACAAATGCGAAAAGAAAAGAGAAAAACATGCACTCCGATATCGGATGTCACCTTAATCACCATAATCGGGTATACGAGGGTGGAGTAGATATTAAAGGCGAGCACCCAACACCAGGGGATGATAATTTCCCCGGAGCAGGGTCCAAGGTCTAACACGTCCGAGTGGGTCCGAGTCAGGGCTCGTAATGGTGGAAAACTGTGGGAAATGCAGGCGAGGGGCATGGAAAAGCAACCCCTTATTTTTCGGGGCTGAACCGTCCGAAATGTCGAGGGGGATGGGGGATGGGGGGAGGGGACTGGGGGTTGAGG